ACTCCCGTGGCCTACGACATTCCCCACAACACCAAACCGCCTCGCACCGTAACGCGACACTCCCCAAATTTCAAACCACTTTCCCGCAAGTTCCGGTGGGCGCCGCCCCCTCCTTCCCAAATGGACGCTTGCAGACACTTACGAACGCTTGCGGACGTACCACGATGTCGGCTCACGTTCCCACCGCTAGAACCCCATCTTAAGACGAGAACCTTTCTACTACGCCTTCGGGAAAATGTTTTCCAAAATTTATAGGCAAAATGTAATTATAATCATTTCATGCGCAGTACAAATATACACATCTATGTTATCTATGATCTTTTTTATAATAGTGTTTTAATTGCACGCTCTATCCTGTTCTCCAAAGAGCATACATAAAATTCGTATTGCTGCATCCGTAGATAATCTTAGTCATCTAGAACCAACATTATCAATATTGACCTTTCTGCAATCAAAGCTATTGTCATTGTTATCATTCAAGATTTATCTGCCATGCTTGAATCCTAGCGGTCAATAGATGAGAATGTATTTTCTGATCGCCCCCCCGACTTGTCTATGCATGCTAAGCGTAACCCCTGCTTCCGCCGGAGTCGAATAGTCTTCGAAACTCAGGCTGGTGATAAATACTGAGTTTCAGCCATGTTCAGGTTGACCAAACTCTAGGATGCAGGTCCGATCCGACTCCGGCAATCCCCATTCAAACACCCCTTCAAGTTTCATTGGGGTGGCGACACGCTGAAAATCGAAACAAAAGGGCAGTTTTGTAGGATGTTGTGTGCTCCTAGTACGAGCGCCTTAATGATTGGAATGTGGTTTTGGGTGGACCTTGTAGTGCAACCATATCGGGACTACACGGCAACGCTTTCCTACTTATTCGGACGTATAATACCAACAGTAAGCTTGCGCTCGCCACATCAAATTAAAGATCTTCCTGCTTCACGATCCGTGGCAGCGGCTTCCTGCAAACCTGAACATATAAGGTTTTTACAGTTTCGGACTTAGGGTTCACGAGTCTGGAAAGAGACGCTTTACGAAGCCGTTGCCAAATCTGCACGGAAGGAAGCCAGGAAACCGAGCAGGAAGCCACCGCTTCCACGATCAGAAGACCTGCACAGCACAAGTAAATATTTCGAAAGATTGGGGATCTCTCTGATCGCGAATTCCTGACCAGTGCCAAGATTCCGATTTAGAGTTCCGGGTGTTTTGCAGTTTGGGCGGCGGGTGTTGTTCCACCAGCATCAGCATTGTGACGAACCTTATTGCCGAAGCCACAACCTGGCACTCCTGCACCCCGAGGTGATGCAAAGCTAAAGCCGGACCCGACGTTGGGATTTAAGGCACCCGGCTGCATCAAGCTGCCGGCAGATCTCATCAAGTCGTTGTGACAGGTCCTTTTGCAGGGCAAGGCGAAAGTGCAATAAGCTGTACTGGCACATGTCTAAGCTGTTGAAGATGTAGAGTTTTCCGTTTCGAGCGCCATCACTACTGTGCCACTAGAGCTCTCACATCGTCACCGCTGTGTTTAGGTTCACCACCCTGCTCGGATGTATCGTCCAAGCTGATGCTTTTAGCCTAGATTTGGAAGTCAGTAGCTTCCAAGACATGCATAGTAGGGCCACTACTAAACGTCACAATCAGCAGTACGTGATTGCAATGCGGTCGTAGTACAATCAAGTGCCCATCGACATCGTCATGAGCGCGCAGGGCAGGCATGAAGGCTGCGAAACAAAATCGGGTGAGCACAACAGAGGACTCCACTGTTGGTATGATGTTGTACTTTGCGCTCTCGCCTCCAGAGTAGAGATCTCCGTATGTATTCTTCGTAAGATCCCTAACGGCGCTTTTCCGAAAGAAGTGAATGCAGACAAGACAAGCTGTCGAGAAGCATTTGCAACAATCTATCATGCATCAGTACGTACCTCCAGTGAGAAGAAGCGTCTATCTGGCTCTGCCACTTGCGCTCGCCAATTTTTAATTGGCTATGCTGGCCTTCCTAGTCCTGGCCTGGATGGAGGAATTATACTGATTAGGATTTTGCGAAACTACCATGATTTGTCTGGATAGGCAACACCGCAATACCATTCATGCTGATTTGGTGGGCCTCCTTAGTCTGCTTGTCGTTCACGGAACTTAGCGTACTGTTTCTCTGGTGCCTTGTCTAGTTACTCCTGCGAGTGCGCCATGTACTGAGCCACACAGCTTCTTGCCAGACTTGACTGACAAGTTTTCAAGTATCGAGGTAATCGGTTGTTTGTGGTAGTGCCGTCTTGGTCTTGGTCTTCGGTGCCGCATCAGCCCTGGATTTCGCAACAGCCCCGTTCGGATCTTGAAAAGCTTCAATGCTTTTCCTCTTGTGTGCGGCGATTGTCGCATCAGCAGTAGTCTGGCGAGTCTTGCTACCAGCTCTCGCACCTCTCACACATTCTTCACATCAAGGGCTTTTAACCGTTGTTCCTGCACAGTGACCTGTTGGTGTTGATTGGATGAGCATACTAATCGCACAGCTTCCAGATCGTCCTCTTCGTCTGATACCGCTTCTAATACAACCGGATGGGCTCTTTGAGATGCCAGCTTCAGTACGAAAGGACCCAGCCAGTCTTCAGCCAACGTAGTGAAACGCCGATTATCCTGAAAGCCATCCTGAATGCTGTGACTTTCTCATCCGATGTTTTGTTCAAGCTTCTACTGTCAGGAACTATGATCACTCGTACTGTGCTTGAATAACAAAACCCTAAACCCTTACAAACCCTGAAGCAATCCTAAAGAAACCCCCAAAGAGACCTTCAAGCAAACCCTGCTACGTCTTGTCGGCTCAGGCCCCACAGAGGCCCTAAACCCTAAACCCTAAACCCTAAACCCTAAAACCCTAGAACCCCAAACCCCAGACCCTAGACCCTAAACCCCTGATCCCCTACACCCCGAAAGCCTAAACCCTAAAACTCCTAAAACCCTAAACCCTAAAACTCCTAAAACCGTAAAGCCCTAAACCCCTAGTCCCTAAACCCCTAATCCCTAAACCAGAGGCCCCACGGACCACCAAAGGCCGGCGCCTCCTCACCGAATCGCCGGCCACGGGTGGCACTGGGCCGAGGCTCTGAGGTTGTGCCTTCTCAGAGATGGACGATATAGGGTTTAGGGTTTAGGGTTTAGGGTGTAGGGTGTAGGGTTTAGGGTTTAGGGTTTAGGGTTTAGGGTGTAGGGTGTAGGGTTTAGGGTTTAGGGTTTAGGGTTTAGGGTTTAGGGTTTAGGGTTTAGGGGATATGATAACATACTAATACATATATACAATAACAACAATAGTAATAGTGAAAAGAATCATAGTTATTATTGTTGCTGCTATACTCTATCTTAGATATAAATATATGATACTTCGTGCGCTTTTGTAGGGCTTTAGAGAGGGCGTCTTAGAGGCCTATAAAAGTGGTTCTCTGGTAATGTATATGTTTGATTGGTAGGCGGCTTGTAAGGGTTCCCCTCAACTCGTTTGAAGATTCTGGCCTTGGAGCCTGATGGTATGATGGGTTGGCAGGATCTCACAGATTGGCAACATGAGTCTGTCGGTTTCAGTTGGGGGCAGGCTCATTCTTGTATAGCTCGCACAAAAACAGACATTACAAACATATCTTGTCACGGATGGGGTGTTTGACTATCGTCATTCTCGTCACACTTGCTGGAACTCCCTAAACCCTAAACCTCCAAACCTCACTGGTCTGAACCCTACAACCTTAAAACCTCCAAAGCCCTTAACCCCCTGCAACCTAAAACATCAGGAAACACCCCGAGCTCCAAAAACCCTTGTAGCAGCCCTTAACAAACCCTTGCAGTACCCCACAAAAACCATGACGGTATAATCCTACAAACCGCACAATACCACATAACACCTATATTTAAACAACGGAAGACGACTATACAACAAGCCTATAAATATTAACAAAACATAACAACTTAACCCATCTAAGAAAAAACAAATCCGCAACCCCAACTTCCGAGCCCTTGGCTCGCTGAGTCGAAACTGGCGGACAGCGCAGCGCACCCCGGGCCCGGGTTCGGGCAAAAGGGCAGCGGATCCTCCGCTGCGCAAGGGTTGTTTGGGCTGAAGGCTTTCGGACTTTTGGGCTGCAACACTTTAGCGTTTAGGGCTTTGGAAGATTCAGCCTTTAAGGCTTTAAAGCTTTAAGGTTGAGGATCTGGTGTTTCGGGTTGAATGGTTTGCTGCGCGCAGGATGATTTAGAAGTTTAATCTACAGTGGTCCATAGAAAAGCTTTAAGTCATCTTGGTCAGACCATGCTAAGGCTTTGGACCTTTGGAGGTAGCAGGTGCTTGAAAATCCAGGCGTTTGGGAAGCCAGCTTTTGGGGAAGGGCGGCTGGATGGGGAGCCGAGCGTTCGAAGGGCCTCGGGTCTACTTGGAAGATCATGGGACGTAGTAACTAGGGTTATAAGTAGGGTAACTATACTTATAACCCCAATCAGGGTACTTATAACCTTACATACTAAGTCCCATGATCCTCGATCGAAGTAGGGCTTTACGGTTTAGGGCTTCAGGCTTTTGATCCCTTGGACTTCCACTCCGGCCTTCGGGCGCAGTCTCACTGGTGATGACAGCGGGCCCGGGGTCTCGTCGCAGCCTCGGAGCGTGGGGTGTAGTAGAGTGCCTGGGGCTCCTGGGGCTCCGGGGTTTGAAGTCTTTTGGGGGGGTGTTTGGGGTTTGCCCTTGGGGCTTATGGTGGTTTAGGAGTTTGGGATTCAGGATTCGGGACATGCGGGGTTAGATTCATGGCTTAGGGTTTCGGTCTGCGCATAAGGTCAGGATCCGGGATCGGACTGGTTGTACTTAAGGTTAGGCAGGCGTGCGGGTTCGGAGGCTTCGGGGGTTTCTCGACCCGAGCTCGGGAGCCCTTAGCACACCGACGTTTGGCACTATGGACAGCAAGAGAAGCAAGACACGTGCAGCATCTTCTGCACCACGGCCAGCGCTGCACTTCTCGTCTTCTGGGAAGATGAGCCCATCGTAGCCATCATCATCAATCTTCAGAATGATAAGGGTCAGAAGTAGGAAAGCATCTGAAGTTTCCAGGTTTTGCTGTTTGAAAGTAAAACTTCCACTTGGCCTGACACGCTAAACACCCCTTGCCATGAAACGGGCTTCGACGGCAGAGCAATAATGTTGACAGCATTTTGTACGGCCGAGTCACGAACGACATAATATCCAGGTAGCAAAGCATATGCTGGACGGGACCGTGCAGTCGATAGTTTCTTTCCTTCAACAAATTCCAGCCGTCCACCCTGAACAGCCGTGGCAGCTTGTCGCTCCAGCGATCTGCGGGCCAGACTTCGGGGAGTACATGAGAAATCGAGGTCCCGGCTCTCCGCGTCGCAACTGGAAGGTACCTCATCCAGTGACATTCCGCGAAAACACCGGTTCCGCTAGCCATGTAGAAAAGCATCGCGCTGCAGAACCGAAGGACGTCTAGGGGCGGGCTAGGGGCTCCTGCCTCTTGTGGATACTGCTATTCGATAACGATCCGCATTATATAGCCTATAAGAAAGCAAAACGAGAATAGTAAGTGAATAAGAAGAATAGAGAGCCGCGACAAGATACTGACGGCAGCAATAGATGTGTCAAAACCCTCATGAAGAGTGAGTAGCAGAGTGCAGTTATGCAGCCTTACAGCCGCTCGCTGCAGCCATCATGTTTCTGTAAAAAGGCTTGGTGGACAAGCAGGCTTCCATCTGCATCACGGAAGGTCTCAAATCCGACACCAGAGGTTCAAGACTTCTTAGCAGAAGCATCGTGTGAATCAAGCGACTAGGCATGCTACAGTTGCTTTCCGTGCTGTCTTCTACAATTCAGCACGCAAAGCAGTAAGATCTCTTCTTGGAAGAAGAAATGGGAGTCATAAGAAGCGCAGTAACCGACATGATCATAGCAATCATTAAGCCTCAATCCATACCGAAGCTGAAGCCCAACCTGCGAGGAACACCGGGCAAGCACACCATCCTCTCAAAACCCTGAGTCCACTGTAATACAATTTCGAAGACCTCGCCTCCAGAACAGGTCCAGGCAGTCCGGTCCAGACACTTGCCGAGGGCGAAGTGCCTTCGTGTTAGATCACGTGCAGTGCGTGCTTGCTGTGGGTTTCACGGCTTGGGCTTCGGGATCTCGCACTGTTAAAACCGCGGCTCGTAAACACTTGCGCAGTCATGACAGGAAGACTAGTAGCCAAGCTCGTGACAGCAGAAAAACGCAGAATCATCATCAACACTAGCATCATGGCCGCAATCATGAGAAGAGTCAGACCTGTCATCATGGTGATGGCCGTAACTATAACCACGGTGGTAATGGCGATGATATCGTGAGGCTCATCGCAATAAGGTGGGGACGACAACACGAGGCTGCCTTTGACCTCATCGGTCGACTCGTCGAAGAGGTCCACGGCAAGGATCTCATCGGAAAGAGCCGGATGGTCCTGGCATGGGCTTCCTCGGATTCTGGTAAACTCCAGCAGCTGGGACGGGCAAGTTCAACAGTGACCTGAATTGGTGGGTGAGGTCTCACCTGTGGCTCTCACACAAGTCGTGGCATCATCGTATGTTTCGGTGTAGATAAACTTCAAAGTTTTGGAACAAGCGCAAAGCGTCTTGGGTGTTGAAGCATGAACAAGTCTGACATCAGGGCTCCTGCTAGCTGCTTGGGGAAATGGCAGAGGGATCAGAGGTTGTGCCTGTGTTTCCGTCCCTCTGCCCCCTACATCGCCATACTAGGTTACCAGATGTGCAGCAGCGGAGTGTTCGCTTAGCATCTTGCTACATGTCTGCTTCATGCTAGCACCCCTCGCACTACAGTCAGAGCGCAGCACCCAAAACACAAAGCTTGAGCTTGACTCAGAGCCACACCGCCCCCTCGCACATCCTCAATTCTGCAGCCTCCAAACCTGAAACGACTCTGCCTAAAACTTCTGTGAAATCGCCAACGAAACTAGGTAGCTGCAACTAGCCCTCACGGAAGATGACACCCATCGCTTTATCAAACCGGCTTCCGAGAAAGGATCCCTCCAAAGGACTTTGGCGGAAAAGGCTCCTGTGTTTTCTCCTCGGGGCTTGTGCTGAAGGGCTCGGCGCAGCCTTGCAATGCAAGGATTTCGGGTTCGGGAAGGGGCATCTATCGGGTGCTGTTGCATCCTGAGCCTTAAATGGTTTGGAACTGGGGCGCCGCCAGATGTGTTTAGGAGCTTTGGGGCTGACAGTCGTGAGAAGAACTCTTCCAAGTTCTGTCTGGCTTCATCGGCAGAAAGAGCGAGAAGCTTCCAGGGAAGCACACGGAAGGGCTGTGAATTTTGGGACGGCTGAGCTTGGCGGCCCCGGGCTTCAGAGGCCCCTCTTCCCTTCTTGCGTGCTCAAGGGTGCGGAGCTTAGGCCTTTTTGCCGGCTTCGGGCTCACGGACCCCGGGCCGTTGTTACACTGAGGCCGAGACTTTGTGAGTCGAGCGGATCAGAATCAGAGACTGAGACCTGTCTGCAGGCTGGAGGGCTTGGCTTCGAGGGCGACGAGAGGCCAAGCCGGAGCAAGCTCTCGGATTGGAAGAACATAGCGAAGCAATTCGGAGGCATGCTACCACATGTACCAAGTCTACAGCGAGGATGAGATGGCATCACTTGCAATGCAAGGCCTTCCCAGGCCTAGAACGGTTCAAGCAACATTCAGGAAGTTCATGGAAAGTGTACGACCTACATGAGCCTGTCTGTCCCAATGCCAGACTATGTTGCTGCAAATTCACAACCCTGAAGTCGTGTCTACATAGATATAGATATATGCGTATATATATATATATATATATATATATATATGTACACACACACACACCCGAATCAATACAGGCCGAAGCCAGTCAACGCTGAGGCGGCTTCGAGATTCAACGGCGCCTCTGCCCCGGGAATCAGCACTTGTGCCGATGTGGCGGGCAGCTCCACCCCTCAGCCAGACAACAATTCGTGGGCTGGGCTTGGAAATTTTCGGGCGTCGCGAGGCTTTCAGATGTTGGCTTTAAGAGCTGGGGTTCAGGACTTCGAATTCCAGTCCAAGGGGTACCGGCGTACCCTGCTACTGTGCTATTACACAGCTGACTATGACAATCAATCACGGTCATGACGGTTACGGATAAATAAAGTCTCGCTGCTACCAAAAATGCAAGTACCGGCACACTACATGCACGACGGCAGAAACCACGACGACGACCATGACCACAACGACAGCGACAACGACAACAACAAAAACAAAACAGGACGAGGACAAGGACGAGGACCGGGACCGCGCCCGAGACCACGACCACATTAGTAAGTTTTAGTTGTAGCTGTAGAGTGTGGTAGAATGTTGTAGATGTAGTAGCTTCATCATCTTCGAAACTTAGCCTCGTTCACCTCTACAAACTGTCAGAAGCTGGGACCCACGCCCTCAGACTCAGAGCTCTGGCAGCTCTCGCGCAAGACGTCCGCAAGCCCCGCCTGGCCTCAGCAAGACCACCGCTCTTCAAGAAACTGTCTGGACTTGGACAGCAAACCAACTTGCTGCTGATAACAGCCACGATCGAGTATGAATCCTTGTCTAAGCGTTCCGAAACCGGCCGGACTGCGTTCGTGAAGTTGGTGCATCGGCCTGACATGCACGCATGCATAGACCGAGCGTAGGAACCGGACACACACGAAGAAGGCAGGCAAACGACCAAGTCCGAGCGAGCACGCAGCAGCGACCACACACGAACAAACACGCACTCATGCACGCGCGAAAGCCCCACCGTGCAGGCACTTCGGACCATACACGCTGAACGCTCTTGTATCTAACGTCTTCTTTCCACCAGACTCTACTCTTCTCGCTCGTGTTTGTCCCATCATCCCTGTGCTCAGTACCCTGCCAAAGTCAAGGACTCGCAGCGTGTGCTCCGGCTCTTCAGGACCTGCTCCGGCGCGTCTGTGCGCAGACGCGAAGGGCAGCAAAAAGACTCCGAGCTCAGGGACCGGGCCCCCGGGGGGCTCGAGCGGCTCGAGGTCGGCATGGAGACTCTCTTCGAGGATTATGGGGCCTCAGCGACGATCGGCTTCGAATTCAGGGTGCGGGCATTCAGATCCGACAACGACTCAACACGCAAACGAGCTCACTCTCTCTCTCTCTCTCCTCTCTCTCTCTTTCACCGAGTTGCGCTTATGTTTCAACTCTGGTACTGCTAGTGCGATAACTGAAGAGTCGGCCAGTTATGGGGCTAGCAATACTTTCTCGTGACGGATCATGGCCATGCCGACACCAGCAGCAGTGGACGTCCTTTGATGTCACGCCCAAGCTCTTTGCAGCGTTCTTGTAGCATTCTGTCCGGCTTTGCTGTGTGTGCGTGGGTGGGGGGGTGCCGAGATGAAGGGGTACTCAGTACCGTGACTACAAACAGCGCGCTGAAAGTAACCCACACAGGCATTACGTCACTGATATCAACAAACCATGGTTTAGTGGTTAGTTAGTGTCATGTTGCTCTCGACTTGTACTAGCATCTTGCGCTGCTGACTGAGGCATAGTGGTGAACGCATCACCGGCGCAAGTTGCAGCAGAGGACACCACTCGCAGACTCCGCGTCGGCAGGCAGTGCTGGTAGTGGCTGCTCCGGATTGGAGGGACCTCTCCAAATCTTCGGCCGAAAGTTGTGATCCACGGACTCGCTCCAAACCTTGCCCTTTTTGTCTTTCCTTCTTCCTGTCATGCCGCTTACATGAGTTATTTTGATGACGACGAAGATGACAGTCACCTGTAGGAAGCAAGCACGGTGCAACAACAGGAGAAAAAAATCCTGGTATGCGGCACCCGGCCTCTGAGCTCCCGTGGGGACAGTGTGCGATATGACAAGAGACGCCTGAGTCGCGTCTGAAGTGGCGTTATGCTCGGTTAGGGGTTGAAAAGCTCAGGATTGCCGTTGAACAGTTTTCGCTGGGAGCAGAGGCGGCTGCCATGCAAATCATCCGGATAATGTAGATAATGAGGGCAATGATTGTCATGCATGGTTCACGGTTTAAGTGCTTCAGCATTCCGTTTGGGGCTCGAAGTGTGCCTGAGGGTCAGGTTCTTCTTCCATGAGCACCTGGTCTCGGCTACCGAACTCCAGCATGGCTCTTTGTAGGAGAATGGGTTTAACCCTGAGCCAAGCCCCGACGACTCTTCAAAACCCCGAACTGCACGGAGCTGGAAGTCGCAGGAAGCGGCTTTGTGGCGTATAAGGGCAAGGGGTTTGGAAGGGGCAAGGGCGCAAAACTGCAACAGCGCTACGCGTTTTACGTTCAGCACCCAGCATCAAAGCCACTAGCTAGCCTTCAGCAACAGCACCCAGCATTAAATCCACTGAAAAGATGCGACGGTTCATCATGAATTTTTCCTCCGCTGCAACTCCTGTCTCATGCCAATCTTTGCACAATCGTCACGAGCTTTCCTTCACTAACTCGCCGACAAAAGATTTCCCACTGGCAAAATTTTGGTCACGGCCGGACTTGCGGCCATAGACCCACCCGCCAGAATAGGAATGCCCTGCCTGGCTCTGGTGCGTGCCAGTCCCATGAGGCTGAAAACTCTGCCGCAAACTGCAGACCTCGCCGTCGAACATCGACCCATCCGGGTACACGATTTCGCCATCCCAAATTGGCTATGCAACGTCTCGTCACTCAACATGCCTTGCATTGCCTTGCATTTGACTTGCTAGCAAGATTCTGCAAGACATTAAGCTTGTCCGATGGAATTAGTAGCTTGCTGTTAACACGTAGCCCCTTGCATGCTGGTGGACTGTAGTCCTCGAACCATAACTAGCCATCCAACGTAAATGATTAAAGCTGTAAAGAAGCTACAGATCCCAAGCCTGTATCAATGGCCAAACAGCAGGCTCGGAATGAAGCCTTCTCGGGACAAGTGCGCCAAGCTGCTCCAACTCTGCACGCATCTCCTTGCAGTCTTCGCAGAGGGAGACCTCCTTGCAGGCCACTACACTTTCAGTTCAGGACGATGTGACCGTGTTGACGGACGATGCTGATGAAACGAAGAAGATGATTCTGCGTGGCGAGGCTACCTTTATCAATCTTGAGCATCTGTCGTTGAAGAAATTCTCTCCTGTGCTTCTTCCACAGGGCCATGTCGCGGCTGTGCTGCCTCGGCGGCCTCTGCTGCGACCTCACGGATGCTAGAACTGTACCGAAAAAGCAGACGGGTGCTGATGCTCGTCAGCACCACAACCATACAGCAATAGCAAAACTCGCCAGTTCAGGACTACCCTAATTTAATTCAAAAGTCATGGCCACAAGTCTAGCCCGCATTGCAGTAATCAGCTTCCCTAGGATTAGGATTGCCGTTACTTCAAACAGACCCCTCAGCCTTGATTCTTACCTCAACTCAGAATGCCCAACCAAGCCGAAAGCCTCTGAGCTGAACTGCAGTTCTCTGACGCGTGGACAGCGAAGCTTTCAAACCAGAATATTCCAGTCAATACATACCGATCCCAAGAACCGTTCTGGCGACCCCTGTAGCAATCCATATAGTAAGCCCGAAAGTAACCTTATCGTAACCCTTACACTGATCCGTATGGTATGCAGTTTTCGGAAGCCTCACAGTAAACCCTCAGGATCATGGGACTTAGTAACTAGGGTTATAATTAGGGTAACTGTACTTATATCCCCAATTAAGGTACTTATAACCTTACTTACTAGGTCCCATGATCCTCCAAGTAGCCCTTGTAATCACTCGCTTACCGAAGAGAAACCCCCCCCGGGGGCCTCGGCGACGGCGCTGATCTTCTGCATGCGCTCCTCGGGCTCAGGAGCTGAGGCTTGGGGGGGGGGGGGGGGGGGGGGGGGGGATATAAAAATAACAATAATAATAATAATAATAATAATAATAATAATAGTAATAGTGACAATAATAATAATAGTATATAATATAATATAATATAATATAACATCATATCATATCATATCATACCATATCATATCATATCATATCATATCATATCATATCATATCATATAGTATGATATAATATACTATACTATAATATAATATCATACAATATAATATAATCTAATCTAATGTAATATAATCTAATCTAATATAATATAATATGATAAAATATAATATAATATAATATAATATACTCCAATATAATATAATCTAATCTAATCTAATACAATACGATTAGGAATTTCAGTAGACACTTGTTGGGTTTAGTCATGTTGTTGTAGGAACCAGAAAGAAAAAAGCAAGCAAACTTATACCACTGAATGAACAACCTAGGCGTTTACGAGTTTGTGCTGGCTCCAGAGCAAGCCCTGCTGACCCAGTGCCACGACCTTCACACGGGCAACTGACTTGATGCAAGCCCTTCTTGGGCAGGACACCCAGAACATGTGTTGCGAGAAATGGCAACGCATTCTGAAGTTTCGCAGGGTTGCAGATTCTGGCACGGTTGGTCCGCGAGGTGAGTTAAAGGCTGCGGGGTTTGCGGCGGAGACGGCAATAAAGCCTGCATGCTGCCTGTAGCCTTAGGACCACGCGCGCTGAGTAGAGCTTGATACCAGTACAGTCCGACCGCCAGAGTGACAAAGGCAGGGACAGAGATAGATTTTGAAAAAGAAATCAACTACATCTAGCTGACATGTGACACGGATTGACATAGATACAACAATCGGGACACCATTACACCATTAATTACTTGGAGGATCATGGGACCTAGTAAGTAAGGTTACAAGTACCTTTATTTGGGGTTATAAGTATAGTTACCCGCCTATGATTATAACCTTAGTTACTAAGTCCTGTGATCCTTTAAGTACACCAGCCCTCCTGCGCCCTAGTCTGTGCCGCTCCTTCCTGGCATCCTCGGCTTTGGCAAGAGCGGAAGCTTCCGCACACCTGGGACACACACACTGCACTGTGTGGGTGGATGTCAAACTTATGGTCCCTTTTTGGGCCCCTATTATACTACGGCACCTAATATTTCAGGTACCCAAAAAAGGACCCTAATTTTGACAACCGCCCGTCTAGAGTGAGAGTGTCTCTCACAGCCGATGCGATGTTGCGAGGATGTTGCGGCCGCGAAGGCCATCCCGACTGAACCGGCTCAAGCCTCAAGCTGCCATCTCCCTCAACAGTCTGTCGCATTTGCACCAACGCCAAACTACAGTCGCACCAATGTTGCATTGCAAATAAGCAAGGCTGTGTCGAGTCTGAGTCATCAGCTTCCAACAGCCAGGGCTGAGTTTTGCTCTGTGGCTTTATCGTGGGCCGGAGTTTGAAAATTTCTTCGGGGTACAAGGTAAGATGGAAGTTGGTCTGCGGAGAATCATCCTGACGGCAAGAAAAACACACAGCTCTCCTCTCCTGGGATAGTCTGCCCGAATCCCTTGGGCCTACCACCCCGAATGCCCCTGAACACCTAGCCTCTCTCCCGAAACTTTAGACCTTAAACCTTCAACTTTCAACCCCAGACCCTAAACCCTGTCCCCAAGCCTACGGTCCTAAAGCCTCCACCACAAAAAGGTCGCAAAGACACGGCGAAGCCATCACCTCAGCCGGGCGGCTTCGCCGCTTCCTCGCGCCGCCAGGCCGCGGCACTGCGGGCCCTGAGCAGCTTCCATGCGTTTCACACAGCTGCGTCCGCAAGGGCGTTCTGATGCCTCTCCAGAGAAAACGGCGAGGGGTCTGAAATCCTACCCTTTCTCACGATCGCCCGACCCCTGAAAAAACAAGCGTCGAGGAAACCGCTGACTCACTCAACAGGACAAGCTGTGGAGCCGTGAGTTAGGGGCCTTCTGAATCAGGGGCCTGCTTATGACCAACGATGCAGGCAGAAGGTCCAATGGACACCTCCCTCTTGAGGACTTCCTGAGAGCCCGGGCTTTGCGGCTTTTCGCTGCTCGGGTGTGGGCCGCGGTGCCCGGCGCGGGAGCTCGGTGGCAGCCTGACACTGATTCTGGGACTAAGGGATGCGGGTCGTCGGGATTTGGGCGCTTTCGTGGCGGGAGTGGGGTTTAAGAGGAAAAGGGCCTGGGGGCCACCGCTGAAGAAGAAACCCTTGCAATCTTCACCCACCAAAGGATGCTTGACCTCAGGGCAATTTTGCCAATCATGCAGACCTCTGCAGTCTCTGCCAAACCATCAACCCCTCCAGAGAGAGAGCTGAGCCGGCGGCCTCGATAACCTCTCTGGGTGCCGATGCAGCCTGAGGTCCGAGGTGGGCGTTGCAGGGAACTTAGTTGGCAAGCCCGAAAGCCTTTTTGGACCTGCGGGGGGCATGCGGCCAGGACGGATATGCAGAAGCAAAAGGCTTCTGCGGCTTAAAAAAACTCAGAAATTTTGAAGCAATTGGATTCCCCACAGCTCAACCCAGCGCTCGTCAGTTGAAGGCTTTCGGCCGAGACCTCGAACTCCCAAGACCCCCTTAACAACCCAAAACTTTGCCGAACCCTAGACCTCTGGAAATAATGAATCTCTGAACATTTAAACCCTATATAAAACACCAAATCCACACGTTTAAGCTCCGCCCTGAAGCAAACCGTTGCCGCTGGCCTCCACTTCACAGCGCTCTGCCTCCCGCCGAACCAACTCCTTGCAGCAGAGTTTCGAGGCTTCCACAAATCAAAGCTCTTGAAGCGCCTTCTTGGGGCTTACGGTACAGATCTTTTCACGTCAGCACGTTCTGAAGGGCCGTGGCGCCGAGAGAGGGATTCGCCGGCTTAAGAGTTTATAGAAACAATGATGATAGTGATAATAACTGGTCACAATTATTAATGATACTCATAATAGTGCCAGTAATAAATGCAAGAAGCCCGGGGTCTTTGCAGGTCTCCGGCCTCGGGCCAGGGTTTCTTGAACTAGGAAGTAACATTTACGTGTTTAGGCATTGGAAGTGTTTGAATCCCATCCGCGATCAAACAGCGACGAACCATACTCGAGACTTACAAGGGAAGTGCCGGCTGTGGCACTGGCTTCGACTTGGCTTGGTGCATCACTGGCCCCGGCCAAGATCCCCTCAACTGCAGCGTGCCTTCGCTGCCTGCGCCATTCGGCCCAGTGATGCGGCACGCTGTGCACGCTTTCGCTCGGCGGCAGCCACCTGCACTGAGAGACTTCCCCAAGGTGAGATGCAGCCCTGTTCCCCGTGCCATCTGTTCCCAAGCAGCCCAAGTGATACCGCACGTGGCAGAACAACATACGGTTGTGGACAGACGGTGAGACAGAAAACAAACAAGTAAAACACTGCAACAGAGACAGAACTCGATCTTACAATCTGCGGTGTCATTTATTCGTGCCAGCACCTTTGCGACTGCTGCATCTCTTTCACGCTACGGCATGCTACAACGCGAAATCAAGGCAATCAAAACTGAAGAAGGATACCAAAAAGCACGGCGCTGAAGGCCGTGAACGGCTGCTGTCCCGCCTCTGAAGCTCTCTGCATCTCCTCCGGGGTCTGTCGTACTTCGTGGTTCAGGATCCGAGGATACAAATGACGGCATTGTCTTGAGTAAGCAGTGTCTCACGCGCGTTGTTGCGACTACCCCGATGATTGTTCTGACCTCTGCAAGACGAGTGTCACGGTCTGCTACAGCAGCCGGTGAGATGCGGTGAGGTTTGACTGCAAGCGTGCCTGCAAGTCTTCTCAAACCTTCCAAGCCTCCCAAACTAAGCAGAAACAGCCATGAATCCAAATCCTTTAAACAAAGCCCTGCGCACTCTCCCAGTCCTCCACAGCTCGCCGCTGCTGTGCCGAGTGCTCTGCACGCTGCACCCGTGCTGCACGGAGGCCGCGCACTGCTTCCTGAAAGCAATCGCAATGAAACATACGGTTTTGGCTTGGATCTACTACGTATACACATACATGCAGGCATGCAGACACATAACATCACATCTTACTCGTCTCGTTTATACCCACATCTTAATCTGCTGCTGTTTACATGGACTTCTGTGCGGCTCGGTTTTGCACTTGTATCTGCATACGCATTCGTATGCGTGCTGCTTGTATTTTTCATATATGCATTTAGATGGAGCGGGTTTCGATATGTGTGAGCTGTATTCATCTTTGTTTGTCTCTGTTCACAGCTGGTTGTCAAAATCACTCGTAATCATTTTTGTCGATGCTCGTTTAAATGTATATAGATTTCTATCTTATCATATACCACTTTATGTCTCCACTTGCTCAAGTTCTTCCATTCTGCCCATTCACTCTTCGGCTGATTCCGTTCGGCGTCTAGACGCAAGCATATGTATTTATGACACAATGCACATCGGTATGTACATGTACGTATGAATTTACGTATGTATGTATGTATGTACGTATATATGTGCAGACACAACCTTTGTTTGAAGAGAACCCATCATCCACCCTAGATCCCGCGACGCAACCCCCCACGTCCATCCCCAGCCTCTTCGCGGCGCAGAGCCTCCGCGGCTGAGGCGGCCGCACGCTGAGCGTCGGCTTCGGCCTGGCTTATTTAAATTTACGGTTCAGGCTTCAGGGTTCAGGGAAGGTTTCAGGGTTTAGGGTTCAGGGTTTAGGGTTTGGGGTTCAGGGTTTAGGGTTTAGGGTTTCCTGGGTTCGTCCGGGGGTTTTAAGTACATTTGCGGGCTTTAGGGCTTTAGGGGTTCTGGCTTCGGGTTTAGGGTTTCGGGGTTGGTTGAACAACTTTGGGGTTGAAAGTCAAAGCCTCTGAAGCAAGGATCGGGGAGAAGGAGGCTTGGTTCGCTCTTCTGGGATGAGGACTGAGCTCCAAGAACCGCACACAATGTTGTTTTTGCTCTGTTTGCAACTCTTAGTGCTGCGACTAGTCGCATGACCATTATTATGTGTCTCAGCTTCTTCTTGTCATTGCTATCAGCATCAGTATCCTTATGTTCCAACTGCTGAAAGCTATGTATTCAAGATCCCAAATCTGCTTCAGTCGTAAGGACTATTGAATATTCAAAGAAGTACAGTACCCGATCCCCCTCTCCACTGTCTTTTACGGGTCTCTATGACTCAGCTTCCACACGCCTGTGCCAACTCCGCCTCGCGCATGGCTGCGCCAGCTCTGGCCTTCGAACAAGAATCCTTTTTGGGGAGGGCTTTGGGTTTTGGGGTTGGGCTTAAGGTTCCTCCAAGGTTTGAGGTTTGGGGTTTAGGGTCTGAGGTGCTGGATTTGGGGGTTCAGGGTACATTGATGATAGCTGCAGTGTCGCAGTTGGCAAGAGCATTCAAGGTAGTAGTATGAACAGGGGTCCGGACAAGAAGAAACCCTGTACAACCCTGCAAAACCCTATGAAGCCCTCACAAAGCCTAATAGAATCCCTAAACCCTAAATCCCACGTAGAATCCCACAAAGCCTCCCTTTTGTGACCCTCTGCTGATCACTTGTGCTCGCACCTCGCAAGCGCGGCGGAGCTCCCGGAGCCCTTCCCAACGAGTTTACTTGGAGGTTCACGGGCAGTTCCTTTAGAGGTCCCTTTAAAGGAATCTAGAGGGATTCTATAAGGGTATAGGGTTTAGGGTTCATGGGTAGTCATAAGCCCCACTTATACCTTATAACCACCCAGTGAACCTCCAAGTTCTAGCCGCTTCTGACCACTCTGGGACTCCAGGCTCCTCTGTGGGGAGATACTCGAAAAGCACGACATGCTGAAGCCGGGCCGGTATCCACATGCTTTAGCGCTACATACCGTGCGCGGCATTTTTGTGAGGGGCATTGATTGTCCGAGCTACGACGAAAATGCTACAAGTTTGAGGCACAGCTGACAAAAGCCGAAGGTATCTTTATGGTGGTCGACGCATGGGGTCGCAACGGACGCCAATGACAGGCATGGATACCCTCGTCGATGACTGGACTGACATTGAAGCCTCGAGGAGTCGCAGCCATCCGAGGACTCCAAAAACCGGGCCTTCGAGCTGCGCCCGCTTCGCCACGAGCTGTGCGCGGACCTCCACGTTTACAACCAATGTCATTACGACCACTACTTCCTGTGTGACCAGCAGTCTCGCCTGCGATATCTACAAACTAACCTGCTTACATGTTGTGTGACTACTGCGACTTCGAAGTGTCCTCTTCCGCCTCCTCCTTCATCACAAATGCTACTTCTAATGCTGCTGCTACATTACTACTACTAGTACTACTACTACAACTACTACTCCTACTACTGCTACTGCTACTGCTACTGCTACTACTACTCCTACTACTACTACTACTACGACTACTACTACGACTACTACTACGACTACTACTACGACTACTACTACTACTACTACTACTACTACTACTACTACTACTACTACTACTACTACTACGACTACGACTACGACTACGACTACGACTACGACTACTTCGACGACTTCGACGATGACAACGATGACTACTGACGACTACTCCTAAACTCCTAAATGCCACCACCACAACGACGACTACTACATATCAACTATTACTACGACGACTGCGCTTGTGACTGCGTGCTCATACGTGTGCACCTGCTACTTCTGCTGCTACTCTGTGGCGACATCGCCGACAACGACGACTCCATCGCTACTTGGGGGTTACCTGGTGTGTCGAGGCTGCACAGCGCCAATGAGATTTAGTTGAAGATACGAACACTTCGTCAGGCATGGAAGCCTGCCCATTGCACAAACCCAAACATCACAGGTCACAAGCCCGCAGCTTCATCCCCCAAAGAGGAGGGCTTGGGCCGGACCGCCTCCACGGTTTTGAAGGCCTTCTCCTCTGCCCTGGCTTGGCGCTGATATCGCTGCCTCTCGAGAGCTTGGGCATTTTATGGTGTTGCTGCTCAAACCCTGAAGCGAAGATTCATGCAATTGTTGCGGACGCCTGCGCTCTCGGGCGAGAATGTCTTCTTTCTGTCTCACCTGGCCACAAAGAGCAGGGCCAGACCAGCCCCACCACACGGTAGGGTAGGACCACTGAGCATGCTGCATCAGGATTCAACAAAGGCTATATATCGCATGTTACACTCGCTGTGATTAGCCCCTCACGCGACACCTCGGCTTGTCGGAAGACCCCGAATCGCAGCCTGATGTAAACGCTCACATCTCAGCCGACGCGAGGTCTCCTGGTAGTACCTGGTCGAGCCACAGATCCGGACTGAGCCCAGGACCTGGAAAAATGTCGTGATTTTACTCACTAGAATTCGGCAAAAAACTATGACAAAGACAAGAACAATATTGAGGGTCGCAAAAAGCCCAGAAAGCTTGGAAAATGAAAAGCAGGTACAGTGGACGTCCGCGGGCCTCTCCTCCTCACCCGGGCTGAGACCTTGCATGTCGACTCATGCAGGTTTGATGGTAGTGGCATCCTAGCATTATAAGAATGCAAGAAGAGCACAACTGACGATCATCCATACAAGGCATCGGTGAGACTCTTAAGTGCACAGGGCGACCATAAAGAGCACAGCTACTAACCCCAAACACTACCACTGGGCACCACTGCTGCTGCTGCTGCTGCTTCGACTACTTCTGCGGCTGCTACTACCACCACCACCACCACCACCGCCATCACTGCTGCCACTACCACTGCCATCCCCTTTGGCTGCCATCTATTGTCACTACCATTTACGTTCTACTACAACCCAGCAATCGTCTTAATCATGAGTCTGCGCGACTCGGGTGAAGCACTGGCCTACTCCCTCGAATGTTCGCGAATGGTGAGCGTCAAAGATGAAAGCATGGTCTGCAGTAGCCTCAGAAGCTCTGGCGAACGGTTCCCGACTCCGAGCTGCAGACTCAGATACTCGCCGCCCATGAGCACCCAACGCCGGCCATGAAAAGTGCAGGAAGCGGCTAAAACCAGGAAACCACGACGATGCCGTAGCAAAGCCGGGAAGGGTTCAGGGGTGGAGCTATTCCGGGAGAGTCTACAGTACCCGCCCTGAACGGGCACGGACACTTCAGCCCCTCAGTTCGGATTCATGCGAGGTCCCAGAATTGAGACTTCGAGGCACAGAGCTTGGACTTTAGATGCCATGTCAGATCGCCATGTACGCTCCTCTCCCCAACACATCTTGGACCAAGCCTGTCATGCAGCATCTGGGAGGCCGCGGGTAGGAGAAGCAATCGGAGCTTCCTTTAAATTGAAACCGGAACTCGTGCGATGAAGTCCTAGACACCCCGATCACCCCTGCGACTTTGCTTGCAGCTGTGTGTGCTGCGGGCCTCAGGACCTGGTGTCTGCAGTGACAACCGAAAGCTAGGCTTTTTGCTGTGGCGATGCCGGAAATATAATGAAACAGTCGCGGTTCCACATTGTTGTATCTGGCAGAAATACCAAACTGTACATCCAAACTGTAAGCCCCAGACTTGAAACCACCTGACAACCCTAAACAACACCGTGCCCTCTCTCCACTATCCCTTGTTGACTGCGGTTGTCCGGCACAACGTTAACGATCGAACCAACTGGGTTGCGGCTCGGACTCGAAGCAGTCGCACTTTAAAGGAGTGTCAACTAGGACCCTCAGGCAACCCAGTTGGCCCAAACAGAGGTCTGCTGCATGTCCCCTGCAGCGAATGTGGGGAGGCCAAGCTTGGGCTGAGGGCTCCGGAGCCCTGAGACCAGCATCATTTGTCACCGCTGTAACCATTTCAGCGGCCACTGCTATTGCCAATACGCATGCTTCTATACTGCTCTTACCATGTTACCAATGCCAGCACCATTGCTGCAACTGCTACTGTCGTGGTCCTACTTGCCATCCTAATCAAAACGAAGCGGAGCTCAGCAGGGGTTTGAAGAGATCCTAAGGCTTGCAATCTTGGAAAGCAGAATTCACGTGCTAGTGCTCAAAGGACGTATGGGCACGTCTCATTCTTAAGCGACGGGTCGGCTTCCGAAGCCCGAATGCTAAGCGCAAGGCTGAGCCTGCCCACACGGTGAAATGCCGCGAGATCCGGCAGCCGATCGGACAGAGACCAGGTGCTATGTAAGGGCTTTTGCGCTATATTGCACCAATGTATGTGGGACTATGAGGCCATAGCAAATATTTCCGAATTATACAGGCCCGTAGTAGCGGTAGTCGTGGTGGTAGTGGTGGTGGTAGTCGAAATAGTGATAGTACTCGCAGTGATCGTCGTGGTCGTCGTGGTCGTCGTGGTCGTGTTTTGGGCGGTGGCGGTGGCGGGGGCGGGGGCCTGGGCCGGGGGGAACGGGGGGGCCGGGGCGTGGCAGCGGCGGGTGGTGGGGGTGGTGGTGGTGGTTCAAGCAGTAACAGCAGTAGTATCTGGACTGGTAGTGTTGCTGCCGCGAGCGACAGCCCTCTGCTGTTGAGGAGACTTGGTTCATCGATGTCGCATGTCCTCGCCTTGCACTAGTTGGCCAGATCAATAAGGCCCTAACTTTCTCGAAATCAGGGAAGTCGTTGTCGACACTCATTTGCCGGATCACGCAACTACCAATCTTCGAATGCACAGTCTGCAGTGAACACACTGCACCAGTGGCAATTGGGTATGCTTCAAGATCATGCATTGCCTACTATACCACAAACGAGAAGCCGAGCTACCGCTGTCGAAGCAACCAATCTCGCTTCAAACCCCCTTGCCAGCGCTGTCCGACTGTGCGGCTAACGAAGCGTCCCGAGACAAAGTTCAAAAAACAAGCTTGGACCCAGGTGGTGGGGACGGAACCTTAACGGCCGCTCCCCTAGAAGCCAAAAAAAACACCGCGAGGCGGGTTCGCCCTCACTGCAAGGGCACCACCTCGGCAGCTCGCTGCTCTCGGCCAGCTCGGCGGATGCGCTCCAGGTCCATGGTGAAAACGACCTCAAGTTAAGTTAAGTGGGGCTGCCGGGGGCTTCGTGCGGCTTTTCGGCGGTTACGACCGGTCCTACAGCCTCAAAACCATCCCGAATCTCAAAATCCCAGAGCCCCAGCACAAGCTGCCAGGACACCGAGGCGTTGCGCACCCGATCTCTCGACACACCCACGAGGCCCTGGCGATTGAAAATAGAATGCCGGTGTGGCGACTTTACATGCTCGCGACATGACAGGAGCTCTGCTCAGGTCTCGTCTCTAGAGTCTAGATAGAGATCCCCAAGGCTAGTCGGAGTAAGTCTGCATGGCTCGGGCCTCGCCGTGCGAGAAGAAGCGGTGCTTGTGGGAGATGACGATCGCCCTGTCGGCGTCTACTGGCTTCTCCGTGGTTCCGCTTCGCTGTCTCGTCAGCCCCGGCACTGAGCTGCCAGCTGGCAGTCCACGGAGGCGATGTAGCTGGCAAGCGCCTGAGGTTGGACGGAAGGATGGCAGCCAGCCTGGGCCTCACTTCGTGCATCTTCGTGCCTGCACATTAGAGTGGTCCAGGTAGGCATCAACCTCGTCCAGGATCAGAAAGGGAGGCCTGTCGGCGCCCCAAACCCCTTGTCCTTTGGATGCACGGCTTCAAGTATTCCCCGAGCTTCAAGTATTCCCCGGTCGAGCACAGGGACACCGAAAGACGCGGAAGAGCACTGCCCATCCGAAAGATGTTGAAACTTCGAGACCTCTGGAAGGACTGCATCGCGAAGAGAAGTGCCATCGCCGCCACTGTTTTCTCCCCACCTCGTCTGGACTCGCAAACACAGGAAAGTCTTGATGGCTAAGTTCAGGACGTCAGCTCTAAGCGATGTACATGATTGCACGGACCTTTGCATTCTGCTTCACAGCTTTGTGGCATGTCTGCCTTCGGCCCCGTACAAATTACATAACTTTGCGCTCGGATGTGCTCAGGTCTTGTTCAGGGCATCCAGAATGGTGCAACCCCTTCTTCAGAATCCTCCCATCCCTCCAAGCTGCCTGACAGCAGCGCGATGTCACAGAATCGCTTGGCAGGTGGCATCGCAGTGAACTGGCCGGATCAAAACGAAAGCTCTGAAGGCTTCAACTATCAAACCACAGAAGATCTCCAGAACCGTAATATCATGTTATGTTGTGGTATCGCATAGTGTCGCATAAATTCGAACAGCAATATGGCAATATGGAATCTGAAAATGTTATATCAGATCATACGATATTGTATTATATTGATATCATACTATATCACATTATACTATCATATTGCACTATATTATGACTACTTATTAAGATCATTCGAGGCTCTTGGGGCTTTCGAGGCCAACTGACAGGTGCACCTTGACGCCGCCGTTCCACGGGTCCTGTGCGATACCGGAGCCCTTCCGGCATCTTTCATATAGGGGCCTGCATTAGCCTTAATAACTAAAAACAGGGTTTTGGGGGATATTAGACTGTAACTACAGAAAGGAACCCCCAAACTAGTATAGGTGATTTCTAAGGCCCCTATATTCGGGATTCCGGCCAGGATCACGCAATCGGGGCGGGGATCGCCTAAATGGGGGGAGTCAGCTACAGCTTCGGGGCAAAAGGAACGCCAATCTCCCCAAGCCGCTCCTCCAAGTCCTCGAGATCTAAGAAGGCCGCGCCGCCTTCGAAGCCTCAACTTTCACCAAGAAAGATATGGTTTAGGGTTTAGGGTTTAGGACCACGGCAACATCACCGGCAGCAGTGGAAGGCAGCACCCCCACCACTAGGAGCAACGACGACAACAACTGCATGTGCTTTGAGTTGCAGTTGTGGTTGCATCCGAACCGAGTGTTTGTCGGGTATGGCCTCAATTTAGGTGACCGGCTCTAGTTCAGAGTCGAAAAGGGCCATCATCACAGATAAAGGCACTCTCTGCAAGACTGACGTGGAAACCTCTGGAGTTGTAAATCATTCCGAATGCCCTGACAGCAAGGCGAGCCCGAAGACCCAAAGCGGACACAGGCTGGCCTTTTGCTGTGGCTTTGGTAAGCCTGCCAGCTTCAACCCTGCTTCCTTGTCTTACACCTTGCTGGTGGGCTTTCTGTGGGGAGAACAAGGCCTGTGTGCTGCATAGATGTGGTGCTACAGGCTCGGCATCAATCTAAGAACGCGATGAGGCATGCGGCTTGTTTGGCTTCCGGGACAGAGGCTTTCGGCTTCCGGTGTTTAGCGAGGGTCCACGGCGCTTGCGCTGAATGTGGGTCTTCGTGGGAGTCTTTTTGGGGGACTACGGTACCCTTAGGCTCAGGCCTAGGCTTGCTGCAACGAAGACTGCCTAGGCAGACCGAATCCAGAAATTACAACTCCCAAAGCCCCCAACACCACTGAACGTGAACCACGCCCAAGTTCAGGGGTTGAGGAAGGGGGTTGACATCACCACCTGGGACGTAGTTGCATGCTTTTCTCACGCACATGGGCCCGTCAGACACTGGTGCGGCAGCCGGCTTGGGCCCCTAAACTTCCTAAGCTCCGCTAACATCCAGAACAGGTACACTCCCGGCTCGCAACGGCTGATCAGAACGAAGACCCTAAACAAGCTACTTCGCATCTGTTTCAAGCACGATACGGTTTGGATTTCCGGCCGTCACCAATCCTGAAACCTCAACCTGACAGTGGCTAAGGTGATGATAACCGGATCCGAGGTTGGATCAGCTTCGGCGCGCTCGACGGAGAGAACCCATCGCGGTGACCGGAAGGGTTGGCGTTGACTTCATGGGGTCACCGAGGCAATTTGGGCCCAACGTGAGACTTACGAGAGATCTGTACACTTGGAACCCTTGAACAGCGTGGCAAAGCGGCTAGGAGCCGCTTGCGAAACGCTGCAGTTCATGTCCATGTGTCCACGACCATGACACAAGCAACAGGCGGTTTGGGCCACTGTGGAGCCTACTGTAGTCAGTCAGCACCTTCTTTGCAGAACGTCGAAGCGTGCTTCTCCGTTAACTTGAAGTTGTGGGACAAAGACAAGGTTCTTCAGACCTATGTACGAATCCTAGGTCATGGTCAAGGCAATCAGGCATTGATGCACAGATTAGTCCCGGAAAATATTGGTCCAATCTCTGCCACTGCTGGTCGGGCAAGCCACTGTGGCACTGACAAGGCAAGACAGCTTCTTGCCAGTAATGTCAGTTTATGTCTGGTGGGCTTGACCCAGGATTTCTGCGAGGTCGACACCGTCGAGAGTCTTGAAGCATTATCCCATTGCCCTGAACATACAACCTTGGAAATCTTGGAGACGTTCGGCAGAGCGGAATCATCCAGCCAATAGCCCGTCAACACAGAAAGTACGAATCAAATCTGGCCTTCTGGCCCTCGCCAACACTTAAGCCAACCATTCAACATTCCGCACATCCCAAACACAATCTCTGAAGCCTTCAAACCGCAGGCCCAACGAAGATGGAGCTTCCTGACCTCTCACACGGCTGAGGCTCCTCTTCGAGGAGCCCCGTAGTCAGGGCGCATCGGCGCACCAGCACCAAGGCAGCAAACGAGTCCGCGGGTTGCCCGGGTTGTGGTTATGCCATCCTTATGACAACTAAACGAGAAATCTGTGATCATGGAGGGTTGTGTTCGAATTCGTGTTTAAAACTAACCGAAAGCCAATGATGCTATGATTTTTACTAGGGTTCCAATATCTAGCAGGATCCTATGTTTTCCAAAAAATGCATGCGTTCTCTCAGCCCCTCGTGTGTGTGTGATGTATGTGTGTGTCTGTGTGTGTGTGTGTGTGTCTCACCCTTTCTTTCGCCAGGCATTCGCTCTTTTGCAGGGCCTCTCTCTCCATTTCTGTCTCTCTCTCTGTCCTCCTCTCTTCAAATTGTTTAAAGTCTCTCTAACTTCTATTTGCTCTCTAAGACCTATCAGATGAGCTTGCCTTTCAAACCACGAATTATCTGGCCACGGGTCTTAGCGATTAGCTGCGGCTGCTGCGAATGCTGCGGCACTGCGGCCGCAGCCACTTGTGACTGTATGCTGCTGTTTCTCGCGCATTAGCATCATGTCATGTGGGGGGTGGCGTTCCAGAGTCCGATGCGAGTGTTGTGTGTATACTGTTTTCATATACTCGTGTCGCCCTTAACCCCGCACCACGGCCACGTCACTCCCCAGGCATCTTCACCGGAGAGAATGCACGGCGCGAGGACCGACAGAGTTAGAAGGAGGTTGCTGAGTCATGTGACGAAACATAAGCATGACGTGTAAGGGACGACTGGAGAGCTACACTGCCGGCTGTTGTTCGGCTGCGTTACAGTACAGTGCTATTGGAGCCACCCCGATTCGATCATCCTCGACAAGAAAGGAAAGGATGTACGGGCCTCAGTTTAGGGGCCACTCGGACACGAGCGTAGCTCCGGTGCGAGGTCGTGCTTCCGGGTGGTACATGGGAGTCGCCCTTTGTATCCTGCTCTTCGAGTCCGCTTCGTCGAGAACCCTAAACCCTGAGTTGATTCGAAGCCCTCTTTTCCACAAAAATCCCGAAGCATGATCCGCAGGCCAACGCCCGAGGGACACCAAAGCCCAAAGCCTCAGGCGCAGCCACCAGAGGCTCACGAGACATCGTACACCTCGAGCGTCATCCTGCACAACACTGTTGCCGCTCAATGAAAGTCCCCCTGCGGAGCGCTGAATTGAACTATGGCTGCTGTCCGAGCCAGACTCCTCAGTTGCAATTTGCACATACGCCACGGCGCGACGCCTTCAACTCACCTGTGGCACCCTCCTGAAGCCGTGTCGAATGTTTCGGTCCTTCTTGGCTTTGTTTCCTGAGGCTTCTCTATGTGCTGCTCCTGCCACTTGTCGTTGCAGTAGAGGACACGGCCTGCAGTGAGGCGAGGGCTTCGGAGCCTCTCAGGCCTGAGATTATTGGCTCTGGCCTTTTCCCATGTCCTGAGTTGGGTTATCAGGCCAAAAACCAGGACTCAGCAGCTTGGATTCCAGTTGTGGTCTCCAGCTCGAATGTAAAGGATCAGAACAGCTCAGTGCTTGAAGGCCTACAGACGCAAAGCTTGTGGGGACGTATGTCGCAGGCTCTACCCGAGAGCCTTTGATCTCCATGAGGCGAGTCTTCAGGTGCTCGACTTTCCTGGAGCTCGGAGCGGCTCGGAGCACTTAAATGTGGGTGCGCAGGGTTCAAGGCTTCTTCTCAACCAGGGCTGCTGAAGACCTCACAGGGTCAAGTTCCGACTCTAGCCCACGAACACCGGACAAGCCCAAGACCAACTGAAGTCCATCCCGCAAGACACCCAAACACAGAAACCGAAACCTACTACTGTATACATTACTACACTGCCTCCCCGGCCTGGCCCACCCTTTCCCCTTACCCCAGCGTCTCGGCTACCTAGATAGTAGGTTTCTAGTCTTCTGACATGTAGGAAAATGCACGCCTTGTAGTAACCCTCAAAGAACCCGTATGTAGCCCTTAAAGAATTCTGGTTGCAGCAACCCCTATAGAGAGCCCTTGTCGTAGCCTTTTATCGTACATTCAAGGGACCCTGAAGTCAGGCCAGGAGGCAAAGGCCCGGCGGGCTCCAGCAGCGAGGACGGGAACCGGGCCTCCTTGGTCTCTTGGAGGCCTTCGCCGTTTGGGGCGGAAGGGTTTAGGGATTGTCGGGTGTTTCGGGGTCTTGGGTTTTTGAAGAGTTTTGGTGGACCGTTTACTCTTTTGCGGTTTCGTTTACGGTTCCTTTTAGGCTTTCAGGCTTCCGTTTTAAGTATCCTCCAAGGGTTCCGCTTAGGGTTGTGGGATGTTCTTCGGCTCCAGCTGAAGAGGTCAAGAGTCCAAGGTCTGGGCTGGAACACTGGGCCACTGGGCCAGCTTCAGGCACTGCGGGCCGAGCTGACCCTGGAGGGGGTCATGCTCCGTATCCAGCACTTCTTCAAGTTGGCCTCAGAAGACTTAGGGTTTAAGATTTGTGGGTTTTTAGGATTTAGGACACCGGAAGCCTGCAACCGGCCAACCGAACAGGGCAAAACCCCTAGTTCTTCCCGCCTAAGAACAATTAAGGGGTTTATTTAGGGTTCAGGGGTTTTGGGTTTGGGCCACTGATTCTGGAAGCCACAACCCTGGAAAAGCTTCACGGAATGAACAAACCCTCCAACACACCGCGCCGGCCTGGAATTTTCGGCTCCGATTTGCTGAGGCCGCGGGACTGGAAGCACGACGGGCCAAGTGTCGGTTTTTCTGCTGCGGGGTTTGCACTTTACTGGCTGGGACGGCTTGGGGCTGTGGGGTTTGACGTTTCGGGCTCACTTCTTCAGGTTTTGAGTGCGGTCTGTCGGGGAGGGATTAAGGCTCTGGGGCATGTTCTGTGGTGCCTGTGAACCCCATCATATCCCAGTCGAGTAAACTATTTGGCATAAGGGAAGGGCTGAAAGACCGTGAAGGGGCTCGATTCACGAAGTTCCCAAGACAGGGGCGGCTCCCTTAAAATCCTGGGTGGCCATGGCCAACCCCACTTAAGTGCAACCCTGAAGGCCGAAATCCGGCCAGTGCAACAGCAACAAGCATGCAAACATTGTCGCACATTCACACTCATAAGGAATATCAGAAACCATCCCAACAATAAGGGCTTCCCCCCCCCAAGGGCGGCCTTCTCCATGTTGGTGGGCGTGGGGCCTGGGGAATATTAGGTGTTGTTTCGTTAGTATTCTACAAGTAGTGGAACCGGACACCAGTAGTCGTGAGAGTGACACTGGGTACTGTGATGCCGAGAAGGTCGGTGAGAATGTGCCACGATGTCAGACATTCACGATTCCGGCAGTCACGCTATGGAAGAGATGATAGCAGTATGACTGTACCATGTATGATGGGCACCAACAAGCATAAGCTGACAAGAGCAGAATAATGTCTCAGTTGCGTCTCAGCCCCCGACATCGCGAAGAAGGCGATGGGAGCGGCGGCAGCGTGAGCAGGTTTTTGTCGTCGGCCTGACACACTTACTCATTGAACCTGATTTCTCAAGTCTAGGTCTAGGTGCGGGTTTCAATAACTTGAAAAAACTTCGGAGGTGCAGTATGATGCTTGAGTTGCTGAGAGTCGCTTAATAAGCTTGCCAGGAAACCATCCTATGCTCCTGCCGCCCGCAGCAAGTATACCACCAACCACTGCCCTCTGCCCCGGAGCCTCCTCCGCACCCCAAGCTCCATTCCATGTGCCTTGGCTTCTTTCTTCTATGATGATGTTGATGCTGGCGACCACTATGACGATTCTTACGATGCTGGCCGGTGATGACCAACATGGTGATGGTGCGCAAGTTCATGAACAGCATCATGACATATCATGGTCATGAAAGTTTCCCTGACCATGATGATGCGCATGAGGATGACAACGATGCTGACAATGATGACGATGATGGTTGAGATGATGGTAGTGGTTGTAACGATGGTGATGAAGGTGATGATGGTGATGATGGTGATGAGGGTTATGGTTTCATGGTGGTGATGGTGGCTATGGTCTCGATGGTGGTGATGGTGGTGATGGAGCTGATGGTGGTGATGGTGGTGGTAGTGGTGGTGGTGATGGCGGTGGTGGTGGCAATGGTGGGTGATAGTGGTGCTGGTGACGGTGACAACGACATTGGTGTAATGACTATTGTTGCTGGCAACAGCACTAGAATCCTCATCTCATAGTTCAAAGCCTTTCACAGAGTGTTGCAGGCACGTTCTCGACAGCTCCAGAATGCGGGGTTTTGCGATGAAAGTTGAGGAGACATTCAGCATATGGTTTTCCACAGCCCATCCAGGGCTCTGCAATCAAGCGGACTCATGTGCACATGGTGCTGGTGCACTGCCTTCCATGATCGTGTTCTCGGAACCGGTCAAGCGCCACAACCACCACAGAGGCGTCCAAGGGGCTGCGAAAACGATTGTTCTTGTCTTGGAGCTGATCGTGGTCGTCCTCTCTCTCTCTCTCTCTCTCTCTCTCACGGCCAACAAATTGCTGCGCAGGGTCGCAGCAGAGAAGGAAGACGGGTCTCCCTCATCGCCGAGATTTCGTACAATCTAAGCATTCTGCCCCAGAGTTCACAGTGAAGCCTACAGTTGCGTACACATGAAGTGTCCTGCAGCTGCTGGAACCTGGCTTGCACGAGGAGCTTGACCGGGCTTGGTGAAAGGGCAGTAACCAGGATTTCCGAGACTAACTTTGTCATTGCAGTGCCGGCAGTGCAGAACGGTTTCGCTTAGGACAACAGCTGCATGGCTCTTTGCATGCAGCCTAGCATGGCTTTGCTTGGAAAGGCAATTCCTTCCGGAAGAAACCTGCACTGTCTCCCCAAAGGGAGGAGCACATGAAGGAGGGAAGATCCCAGCCCAGCAGCCCCAGACCTCTCAAGTCATGTCTCGAAAAACAGCTGCTTCCGGCTCAGGGTGTTTACTTCGGGCCCCGTCTCGCTGCGGAAGTGCGGCTCTGCCATGAGCTCTTGGTACTCGCCCTTGAGCCGTGCCATTTCGCCCTCGAGATCGCGCTGCTTGGCCGCATCCTGAAGCTGTGAGGACTGCTGAGTCTAAGCCTGCAAAGTCTCCCACGAGATGTTTGTGGCATCAAGGCTCTTTCATGCGCTATGCAAGTTCGGTTCAACGCTTTTTCACAGGGCTTCAACCACACAATCCGCGAGGCCGCAGGCCCACACGTATTGGGGGTTAACTCAGGTACCCTCCACCTAACTCTCTGCAGTCAGACACCCGTTTTTTGCGTTCATTTCCCATCCCTCTGCCCGGCCCCTCTTTCCCCCACCCCTCCGGCAAGCCGAGGCGGGCGGCGTAGTGTCAAAACTACGTTGTCAAGTGCGGAAGGTTCAGGTGGTTCGGGTCGTGAAAGATCAACGGCTTTTCAAGCGGCTCATGCCGCAACTCACTCGGTGTTGCACGCAGCAAAGCTGCATGTCTGCACGGGTCAAGGGAGAAGGGTGCAGGTGTGCACACATACGAGCTCGCAGACTCAACAGCATGTCAAGCTATCAATCCCATCGTCTGTAATGTCTCTCAACAGAAACACCCGCCTTGAGGAGCGCCGAATGTTCCTGTGCGGAAGCTTAGGCACTTCAGCAGCCGCCATAGATAGACATGCGTTGTTTCCCTGAAGTAGTGTGGTTTGAAGCCAAACCGCTCCGAGGAAGGAGATTTGGCTAGGGTGGCCTTGCTGCTCGGCGCAAATTTGGTACTCATGTCCGCAGGATCCGTGCAGATGCAAGGCCAGATTCATGTAGTAGCATTGTGGCCGTCCTCACCAGTTTCGCCAGTGCCTTGGAAAAGCAAGTGGTCGCATGGTGGTCCTTGGTCTCCTGGTGGGCCTGCCCGGGTCTCGTGGTGGTGTCCCTGCGGATTCTTGGTGTCTCGTTGTGGTCTTGGCAATCTTGGTGGCCCTATTGGTCGTTGCGGCGCGGTCATCTACCACCACCAGCACCTCCACCACCTCCACTGCTGCTGCTGCTACTGCTACTACTACTACTACTACTACTACTACTACTACTACCACTACCACTACTACGTACTACGACTACCACTACGACTACGAAAACGACTACTGCTACAAATGCTTCTACTGCTACTACTGCTCCTACTACTCCTACTACTACTCCTGCTACTCCTCCTACTCCCACTCCCACTCCTACTCCTACTCCTACTCCTACTCGTACTCCTACTCCTACCCCTACTCCTGCTCCTACCTGCTCCTACTACTACTGCTTGTACTATAACTACTGCTACTACCACTACCACTACCACTACCACTACTACTACTACTACTACTACTACTACTACTACTACTACTACTACTACTACTACTACTACTACTACCACTGCTACTACTACTACTACTACTACTACTACTACTACTACTGCTGCCTATTGCCTACTGCCTACTGCCTACTACCTACTACCTCTGCTTCTACCACTACTATTCCTCCTGCACCACCACCTCCTCCTCCTCGTCCTCCTCCACTCGTCCTCCTCTTCCTCCCGTGCTCCTCGTGCTCCTCGTGCTCCTCTTGCTCCTCGGGCTCCTCGTGCTCCTGCTGCTGCTCCTCCTCCTCGTCCTCGTCCTCCTCCTCCTCCTCCGCGTCCTCCTCGTCCTCCTCGCCCTCGTCCTCCTCGTCCTCCTCGTCCTCGTCCTCGTCCTCCTCTTCCTCCTCGTCGTCGTTGTCGTCGTCGTTCTTCATGCTGGTTCATGATAGTTCGTGATCACTGGTGGTTGCATGATTTTTCATCATATGTCTTGTTCTCATTCTTATTCATAACACATGATTGCTTATTCCTGCTGGTTCATGACATTCAATTTGCTGTCTAACTCGTTGCTATTCACTTGTTTACCTACCTTATTACCACTGTTTAGGTCCTTAAGCCTTACAAATGCTCTCAAAAGAGCTGCTGGGGCTGAATGATGTACGAAAGTATACAACCGCTGTTTAGGTGGCCCGGCCTTCCGCAGCTTCTCCAGCTGGGCCTGGGCCTCGGAATAAGCCCCGCGCACCTCGAGTAGCTCTGCTGCCATCACGGCTGCTTTAAGGAATCACGGTTTAGGGTCTAAGGTTTAGGGTCTGGGGAGGCAAAAACTTTGGCTGTTCGCTTGTAACCCGCCCATCTGCATCACAACAGTCTTGCTCCTGCCCGGGTGTTCGGCAGATACTCTGTAGCTCTGTCGCTGAACGGGAAAGGAGTGTGCAAGCTTCTCTATCCCGGGTGTCTGGGTGGATGGCCTGTCGGGTGGATGTGCAGTTTGTCACAGCGCAGTGTGGCGGATCGCACGTGTGCGAATTCAGTCTAAGGCCTTGCACCCTGACATGCAAACCACCCGATGCCTGCTGCAGCTCCTCGGCCAGCTTCTCGTGCTCCCGTCGGAGTCTTCCTTGGATTGACTGAGGGCGCGGGGGTTCGGGGGTGCTGGGTTGGGGCTTGCTTCTCAGGGTGAACCCATTCGCACCAGGAGCGCCGAAGACAAGCATTGCCTCGACCAAACCTCCAGCCATGCTAAAGGCCACAAAAACAAAGCCTTCTCAACGAAAGAGGTTCCGACTTGCGCGCTCTGCTGCTTGTGCACCTGCAAGCAGAGAGGTTGCATGCGCTCTGGCGTTGCAGGTTTGCGGGTCTGGCCTGCAGAGTTTCCGAACCCCGTCTCCGATACTCGGATGCTTTACAGTCCATATGGAACTATACCGACGCGCATCTTGTAACATGCGACTTGGTAGACATGACCGTGGTACCATAGGGAGAGCATTTGAAGATGTAAGGATTCTACGAGACCTTGTCCAGGAGCCGGATCTAGTTCGAGGCAAGGGCACCACTGTGAGCCGCGGAAGGAGAGCGTGGAAGCCAGTGCAAGCATCACAAGAAACTGTCATCAGCATCCTCATCATGACCACCACCAGCGCCGCCACTGCTACCATCTGGGTGGTTGTCAAAAGTAGTGTCCCTTTTGGGGTCCCTTTTATAATACGGCACCGAATATTTAAGGTACCCCAAAAAGTCGAAAAGGGACCCTAGTTCTGTATCATCTTCATCCCTCTTTTGCCGTCACTCCACGAAGCGGAGAATGCCTTTGCCGCCTCCTCCTTGAGCTTCTCGTGCTCTGCCTGGCGGGCTCTGAAGCCGTTTATGGGGGAGCTAGCTGTCCTGGCCTTCAAACATTTAACGAAAGCTGGAGGCATCCAAACAGACATGCGGGCAACTTGCGTCACAAGACGATGATGACAGCGCTATCTTCGGTCACTACGTTGTGTCCTGGAGCTGGCTGTGCTGTGTCTCGAGCTCCAAATGCTCGACACGAAGCTTGGACAGCTTCTGCTGCACTGCCTGTCAGGTCCACTGTGTCTCCCCACTGTGTCTCCCCACTGTGTCTTCCCACTGACTCTCCGACAATGAACTGATACCGTCCCCCAACAGACCTCGCCTGGTAACGCTCCTGCAGCTTCTGCACCTGCTCCTGCTGGCACAATGGGCTTTGACCGCAGCCCCACAGCTCTCTTGGAGAATTAAGGCTTCCGTGTCTTCAAGTTACACTACAGTTACACCCGACCCCGATGCTAGCAAACCAGTTGGAACATTTGAGGCCCAAAGCCCTTGAACCGTTGCTGACGTGAGCACAGACGCAAGGGACGAGCAATATCGGACCGCGAGACCCGTGGCTCGCATCCCACACAGATGTTCTTGTGGTCCATAAGTCTCGTAAGTCCTAGGTTGTGATTGCACCACTGGCGCGCTAGCTGTGTCAGCGCTGGCACCGTGCCGTTGGTCCTCCAGGAGCTTCACACTCGCGGAGCTCTCGACGACCTGACGGCAGCCTACGGACCACAAGTAGCCTTGGGCCTTGGGAACAGGAGCAGAGTAGTTTAAGTCGTCTTGGCGCCTGTGGAGGTCGATCCTTCAGCTCTTGGTACTCGTCTGCCAGGCTCTCGTAGTCCTCCCATTCATCGTATTCGGGGTGATGTTGGGCTCGGCGGTAGCTACATCAATGTTGTAGTATGAAGGGACACACGACGGACTTTCAATTTGAAGCTAAGACTCTTGCACCCGGTTTGTTCGCGCATTGCACTTCCCTACGTGCCAGGGCTACTCCGTCGCGAGTTCTCCGACTCTAGTGTGGTCCTCGCATGTAGAAACAAGCACTACTCACCGCAGAAGTTGTACAACTGCGAAGGCGCGTCAGCCCACAAACACACTGCTATCAAGCGTTGTAAATCCGCAAACCTGCATGCGAGCGATCGTGTAGAGTTCGCAGGTGTTGCCTCAAGTGTAGTCAAAGTCCCAACTTGTCTAACCACTGCGCACCGTCGCCTGGACCCACGAAACCTTTTTAACTTTGTGCCGTTCAGTGCAGCCGCTGCCTTCTGCAGCTGGAGGTAATCCGTCTGCAGCGATGCGATCTTGTTAAGATCGTCCTTCAAGGAGTATGCAACGGCTTCGTCTACGCAAGTTACACGTTCACTCTGTAGGTGGGATACCTGCAACGAGCGCAGCCAATGGCAAAGGAGCCATGAAGCAGCTTCAATCAGTCAAGCCAGGCAGTGACGCCACAAAATCAATTTCCTGAGCTCCATCGCACCGTCCTCGCTCGCCGTGGAGCCGAAAACAGATCTTTCCAGGCTTGCTATTCCTGGGCTGGGCTGCCATCTTGAACGTGCAGACACGGTATTCTTGTGAGCCTAGCGACGGCGCAGTGAGGCCAACACCCTACAGGCCCTATGGCTTCTAGGCCCTGGGGGCAGCAACCCGCAACTCGAAGCGAAGATCTTGACCAAAGCAGACGGCTAGGGTCAGGATCAAGGATTGCGTTGGGTTTTGTGTAAAGCGTTCAGGACTTTGATAGAGATTTAGGGTTTTTTGGTTTGGGTTTAGGGTGTCAGGGCTTGCGGGCTGTGGCTTGGGTGCAGGACGGAGGAGGGGCTCATTCGGTGTTGCAATCTAGGATGGGCTACGCGATTGCCTCTCGAGGTTCTTCGGTCAGACCGCTGCACCTACGAGGGGAAGAAGATCCTCACCCTTGCATGGCTGCAGAAGCATTTTGCAGGAGCAAGCTGCCATGTCCTGCAATCGGAAGCATAACAAGGATTGGCTTGAGAAATCGCGGCTTTTCGCTAGTTTGGCCGGGCCAAGTTCATAGTTCAGAAACCCTTGAAAAAGGGGTCTGAATAATTAGTGGGGACACCGGGCTTCAGCAAGAAGAAGACGGGAAAAAGGGCAACAGCACAGCCGAGGTGCTGTAAGGAAGGGACACCCGCTCCGCGTTGGTCGACCCCTCCATGGCTCGCTTCTCCAACTCGAGAACCTCACAGCTGGATTGGGCGCGGCAAGTTTGTGAGTTTGGACTTGGTGGTGTTGGGTTTCAGCCCTTCAAAAAAGGAGGCTCGCGAATAAAGCTTCGTGTCATGTGTGTAAGGGTGGGATGGGGGTGATCTTTGGCTGTTGAAGCGAAATTCGTTCCATCGTCTTTTGTTTGTCTTGCGCTTCTTCTTGTTTGTTGGAGGCGAAAAACCCTGTATGTGTTGTCAGGTTTCTAGAAATCAGCCCAGGGTACGCGATGGACCAGGTAGTTTTGGCTTCTGGGATTCGGTGGTTTATCGGTTTATCATAGGGACCCTTAGGGTTAGGTTTTGGTAAGGGGGAGCGGAGTAAGGGTATTCAAAAGTTTAGGTGTCGCTACCTGCAGCCAGGGCACAGTCGCCAAAGTCATGGTCCAGACTTTGGAGGACAGCTGCTTCCTAAGCTGCCGGGGCCCTGGGAAACCGGACTTACCTGGCAGAATGGCCCCCATCAGATCCCATCACTCCGTCCAATAATCCCCCAACTTTTCGGACCAGGATCTTAAGCTCCGCATTCTCGGCTTGCAGCGCTGCCTGCAAGGAACCAACTGGAAAACAAAGGGTCAGCTTGTTGCCAACTACCCAGCGATGCAAGCAACTGTCCAAAAAGAGGGTTGCAAGAATGCAACATCTCCACCACAGCCCTCGTCATCAACACACATACTGGGTATGATGGCCTGAGCAGAGTTACTGCTAGCAGGTACAGGCAGCAGCAGTCATCGTCATCCTAACAGTCCTAACACTACGGAGCAGCTGCGACTCATGACAGCAAGTCATCTGACGACCAGGGGACCATCAGAGCGTTTCTTCGGATTGCCCAGACTCAGGAGTGTAGGAGGTTGAGGGTGGCGGGGCATAGACAGGACGAGGGGTCTCGGGGCTCAGGTGGGGTCTTAGGTCCTGCGGTTTCCAAGCTCTTCGCTCAGATCATCATCGCCATGGACATGAATGGACAGGACAGGCACACACACACACACAAGAAGCTCGCCCTGCACCCCGTCGCGAAGCCAAGGCACAAGGCTCTCATCGCCAGATCCGCCCATGGAAGGCCAAAGACAAGGAGGGGTTCGGGTGTACGGTCAAGCAGCTGGCGAGGTATCGGGTGTAGGGACTTCAGCCTCACGAGGAACTGTACAGGTGTAGGGCTTCTCACTTCCCTACCTCACGCAGGTGCCGCACTTTGAACTCAGCGCTTATGCCCGTCGTGTAAAAGACAGTGATGTGAGTTCAGGTTACACTTTCTGCCGTGTGCCTCCGCTGTCAACACGTACTATGACTATGACGGGGATGACCACACTTACGAGTGTGGCTGTCCACGTGCAAGCAAGTCGTCTCTGACGACGCTTCAGCCACAGCTGGCAGGGAATATCGCAAACATCATTGCCAGACCCCTGCTTACTGCTTGCACCTCTCGAAGTTATCGGGGAGCTTCGAGCAAGCAGTCAAGCAGTGCACTGGTGCTCTTCTGATTCCACTTTGGTTGTCACGGTTTCCGACTCTAAAAGAGCAGGGCCAGAGAGCAGAGAGCCTCCAAGGCTCGAAACCCTGATCGAATCGTGAGGACTCTTGGGAAAAACCAGCCCAAAGGCCCTGGGCAAAGGGCACCTCTTGTAGACGTGCTGGATCTCGTCCTGCACCTCTCGTGGCACGGGGGTCTCGTATCCGAGGGCCCGGGGACTAAGAATCCGAGCCGAAGCTGAAGAGCTCTCCGGGCTCGCGCCTTCCGGAAGCAGCCCATGAACTTCTCGCGCCTCCCGCTTTGAGGATGCATCACTTCTGTGGACTCTCAAGAAAAACGCTTCAAGTTGCCCAGGGTCACGCTTTCCCTACGGAGGTTGCTGCAGCTGTGGGCAGCTGCAATGACCTTTGCTCGGAGTCTGTTTTGACTACCCCGCAACGCCCCGGAAGGCCAAAAGAATCCCGTGAGCCCGAGCTCCGGTTGCACGCGGTTGTCGAGACATTAGGGATGTTGGGCAGGCTCCGGTGTTGCTGCCGGTTTGGGACAAGCTAGACACAAAAGAGTGAAAGGGCCACGAGCATGAGGTGTTGCTGAGAAGTTTGATGTTGAGGACGTGCAGTGCAACGTCAGAATCAATCGCAAACCCTGCGCCGCTATCTCCATGAGCACATGCAACTCCAGCATAAGGTGTCCTTAATCCATGTTCCGACTTTCGGGAGTTCATGGTCGACTCTCCAATACCTGTGCTTCCACAGCCCAAGGTCAGTATGCCCTTGAGAGGACCCAACATGTTAGAGCCTGCAATCGCTTACAGAAAACACCTGCAAGCCTGAAACTGCAAAAAAAAACCTGCCACTAGCCCAAGACCATATATTTGGGCCCTACTCAAGAAACGGGATCCAAACGCTCAAGCCTGTGCAAGCCCGACCTTGAACCCTCTGAGACCTCATGTAAAAACCCCAAGCTGCCGGAAGCCGAGGAAGGGGTCCTTGCGGTCCGAACTGTTTCGAAGCTCCGGTCTGCTTCCTGGGCCGAAGATAGTGTTTCCCAGCATTTTCGAGGTTTCCCTTGTTTCCAAACTTCCAGGGTTATGTCCCTCCCGGATTGAATATGTTGGACTAATGGAACTTCACAAGTTTCTGTAACGAATATTGTCGGGTTGGTGGCAAAGGTGGAGGAGTGTTGGGATGCGGGGCCGCTAAAATCGCGGACTGACGAGGGATGAAACGATCCAGCGATAGCCTCAGGCCTCTGAGGTTCCCTTACCAAAACCCTCGAGGGAACCCCCCTTAAGGTAACAATTAGAAGTTGTCTTACTGCGGACTCCAGCATGCTCCGAAAATCAGGCCACGAAACCCAGAAACCCAACATCCGAGGCAAAGTCCAAGCGAAAGAGCCCTTACTGAGCAACCTTGTAATGGCCATTTTAGTCAGCGTTTTAGCAAGCCTTGTTCATTAATTATAGTAGCCCTTGTAGTCACCCTCATTTATGATAGTAACTTTTTCTGGCAACCCTTATTGATGATAGCAACGTAACCCTTACAATAACCCTGATTGATTATGCGAACCCCTTGTCGTAACCCCTATGCATTACAGCCGCCTCTTATTATTATAGCAACCCTGATTTATTTTTCGCAATCCCGCTTGTCACCCTGATTTATTGCAGCAAACCTCGTCGTCACCCTCATTTGGTGGCTACCCTCAAAGCATCTCTCGCACAGCATCGAAGCTTTACACTAACCCTTACAGTAACCCTCGTAATAACCCTTGAAGTTGTTAAAGAGTCGCCCGCCTCCACGCGCTTCCGAGCCCTCTGCGCCTCACCGAATCAGGATATAGGGTCTAGGGCTTAAGGTGTTTTTGTTTGTTGCCTCTTTTCCTCCTGCCATGTTCTATTCGTCGGACAGCACAGGCTGAGGCTGTGGGCCAAGGGAACTTGCCAACGGGATTCAACACCTCCATCACCAATACCCCGCAGGGCTTTGTTTACGACTGGCTGGGCTTGGAAACTTACTATGTCAGCAATGTGGCGAAGAACTAGAAAAAAAAAAACAGCCCGCCCAAACAGCCCCGTAACGTTTCGGAAAATACAACGTTTGTCACCTTCTCAACTGTGAACTCGCGTTAACACCAACTAGGACGGAAGCATATGATGCCAATATCATGGATATCAGTGGCTGGTATCTGAAACTCAACCGAGCCAGTCTGCTGACGTTCACGCAGACAGCAAGCCGGCGATTGCCAGCCGGAATCGTGATTGATATCTCTAACCCAACCGGGTCAACATGTACCGAGCGGGTACCTCACTGTGATCTTTACTTCGCAGGTTTCCATCGCAACGAACATTACAAGAACATGCCACTGCATGTTGGATCTTGTCAGGCCTACAGAGGTCCGGGCTGTAACGAATAACTAATCTTGAAAAGCCAGCCGAATGTCGGCCCTAAGCCCTAAAGGCCAGCCCAGAGTCAACCCTAAACCCTACATGCCAGCCCAGAGTAAGCCCCAAACCCCAAAATCAGTCGACAGCAAACCCTTAACCCGAAAGGCCAAGCCCTAAACCCTAAAGTCCAGCCCAGAGCAAGCCCTAAACCCTAGTCCAGAGTAAGCCCTCCAGCCCATCCCATGAAAGTAAGCCCTAAACTCTGAAGGCCAGTCCAGAGATACCCCTAAACCTTAAAAAGGCCTGTCCACAGTACCCGTCAACCTTGAACCCAGAGCATGCCCGAGACCCTACTAGAAGCCATAAAAGCCTGCCTAGAGTAAGCCCTAAACCCTACCGCAATCCCTAAGCCCTACACGCCAGCCCAGGGTAAGCCCTAAACCCAAGAGTAAGCCCTAAACCCTAAAGGCCAGAGCTTTAAACACCCAAGGCCAGCCCAGAGTAAGCTCTAAACCCTAGAGTAGGCCCTAAACCCTAAAGGCCAGCCCAGTGCAAGCTCTAAACCCTAAAAGTAAGCCCTAACCCCTAAGGGCCAGCCCAGAGTAAGCTCTATGCCCTACAGTAAGCCCTAAACCCGAAAGGCCAGCCCAGGGTAAGCTCTAAACCCTACAGTAGGCCCCAAACCCTCAAGGCCAGCCCAGAGTAAGCTCTAAACCCTAAAGTAGGCCCTAAACCCTAAAAGCCAGCCCAGAGCAAGCGCTAAACCCTAAGAGTAAGCCCTAAACCCTAAAAGCCAGCCCGGAGTAAGACCCTCAAAACCAGCCCAGAGTAAGCTCTAAACCCTGCGAGTACGCCCCAAACCCTAAAGGCCAGCCCGACTTAAGCCCTAAACCCTAGAGCAAGCCCTAAACCCTAAAGGCCAGCCCAGAGCAAGCTTTAAACCCTAAAGGCCAGCCCAGAGTAAGCTCTAAACCCTAGAGTAAGCCCTAACCCCTAAAGGCCAGCCCAGAGTAAGCTCTATGCCCTACAGTAAGCCCTAAACCCGAAAGGCCAGCCCAGGGTAAGCTCTAAACCCTACAATAAGCCCCAAACCCTAAAGGCCAGCCCAGAGTAAGCTCTAAACCCTAAAGTAGGCCCTAAACCCTAAAAGCCAGCCCAGAGCAAGCGCTAAACCCTAAGAGTAAGCCCTAAACCTTAAAAGCCAGCCTGGAGTAAGACCCTCAAAACCAGCCCAGAGTAAGCTCTAAACCCTGCGAGTACGCCCCAAAGCCTAAAGGCCAGCCCGAATTAAGCCCTAAACCCTAGAGTAAGCCCCAACCCCTAAAGGCCAGCCCAGAGCAAGCTTTAAACCCTGAAGGCCAGCCCAGAGTAAGCTCTAAACCCTAGAGTAAGCCCTAAACCCTAAAAGCCAGCCCAAAGCAAGCTCTAAACCCTAGAGTAAGCCCTAAGCCCGAAAGGCCAGCCCAGAGTAAGCTCTAAACCCTAGAGAAAGCCCTAAACCCGAAAGGCCTGCCCAGAGTAAGCTCTAAACCCTACAGTAAGCCCTAAACCCGAAAGGCCAGCCCAGAGTAAGCTCTATGCCCTACAGTAAGCCCTAAACCCTAAAGGCCAGCCCAAAGCAAGCTCTAAACCCTAGAGTAAGCCCTAAACCCGAAAGGCCAGCCCAGAGTAAGCTCTAAACCCTAGAGTAAGCCATAAACCCTACAGGCCAGCCCAAAGCAAGCTCTAAACCCTAGCCTAAACCCGAAAGGCCTGCCCAGAGTAAGCTCTAAACCCTAGAGTAAGCTTTAAACCCTAAAGGCCAGCCCAGAGCAAGCTCTATGCCCTACAGTAAGCCCTAAACCCGAAAGGCCAACCCAGGGTAAGCTCTAAACCCTACAGCAGGCCCCAAACTCTAAAGGCCAGCCCAGAGTAAGCTCTAAACCCTAGAGTAAGCCCTAAGCCCGAAAGGCCAGCCCAGAGTAAGCTCTAAACCCTAGAGAAAGCCCTAAACCCTAAAGGCCAGCCCAAAGCAAGCTCTAAACCCTAGAGTAAGCCCTAAACCCGAAAGGCCAGCCCAGAGTAAGCTCTATGCCCTACAGTAAGCCCTAAACCCTAAAGGCCAGCCCAAAGCAAGCTCTAAACCCTAGAGTAAGCCCTAAACCCGAAAGGCCAGCCCAGAGTAAGCTCTAAACCCCAGAGTAAGCTTTAAACCCTAAAGGCCAGCCCAGAGTAAGCTCAAAGCCCTACAGTAAGCCCTAAGCCCGAAAGGCCAGCCCAGAGTAAGCTCTAAACCCTACAGCAGGCCCCAAACCCTAAAGGCCAGCCCAGAGTAAGCTCTAAACCCTAAGAGTAAGCCCTAAACCCGAAAGGCCAGCCCAGAGTAAGCTCTATGCCCTACAGTAAGCCCTAAACCCTAAAGGCCAGCCCAAAGCAAGCTCTAAACCCTAGAGTAAGCCCTAAACCCGAAAGGCCAGCCCAGAGTAAGCTCTAAACCCTAGAGTACCGAGTAAGCCCTAGACCCTAGAGTAAGCCTTAAACCCTACAGGCCAGCCCAAAGCAAGCTCTAAACCCTACAGCAGGCCCCAAACCCTAAAGGCCAGCCCAGAGTAAGCTCAAAGCCCTACAGTAAGCCCTAAGCCCGAAAGGCCAGCCCAGAGTAAGCTCTAAACCCTACAGCAGGCCCCAAACCCTAAAGGCCAGCCCAGAGTAAGCTCTAAACCCTAGAGTAAGCCCTAAACCCGAAAGGCCAGCCCAGAGTAAGCTCTAAACCCTAGAGTAAGCCCTAAACCCTAAAGGCCAGCCCAAAGCAAGCTCTAAACCCTAGAGTAAGCCCTAAACCCGAAAGGCCAGCCCAGAGTAAGCTCTAAACCCTAGAGTAAGCCCTAAACCCTAAAGGCCAGCCCAAAGCAAGCTCTAAACCCTAGAGTAAGCCCTAAACCCGAAAGGCCAGCCCAGAGTAAGCTCTAAACCCTAGAGTAAGCCCTAAACCCTAAAGGCCAGCCCAAAGCAAGCTCTAAACCCTAGAGTAAGCCCTAAACCCGAAAGGCCAGCCCAGAGTAAGCTCTAAACCCTAGAGTACCGAGTAAGCCCTAGACCCTAGAGTAAGCCTTAAACCCTACAGGCCAGCCCAAAGCAAGCTCTAAACCCTACAGCAGGCCCCAAACCCTAAAGGCCAGCCCAGAGTAAGCTCTATGCCCTACAGTAAGCCCTAAGCCCGAAAGGCCAGCCCAGAGTAAGCTCTAAACCCTGAGAAAGCCCTAAACCGTAAAGACCAGCGCCCAGAGTAACCCCCGAACCTTAAAGGCCAGCCCAGAAACCCTGAAGGCCAGGATAACAGGTAAAGGCCAGCCCAAACCCAAAACTCTACAGGCCAGCGCAGAGGAGGCCCAGGCCCCAATGTAGGCCCTGGATCCAGCGAAGAGTAGGCATAAACCCCGAGTTGCAGTCGAACCTGCAAACCTCTCAAGTTTGCTGTGCTGCAGTCTCAGTTTAAAAGCAGTGATGCACAAAGCATGGAAAGCAACATGCATGCAACCGACAAACTTGTAACCACAAGGCAGGATTCGATGTTAAGCGATATTTTTGCCTACAATAGACGTCGAGTTCCTTCCCCAGTGGACCCTCTAGCACAGAAAGCCCTTACGGCCAAAGGCCGAAGTGAAGTTGCTGGAGGACTAGACACAACCAACCGGCTCAAAACTCCCGGGCTTTCTCTAAGGCCACAACTCCTGCCCGGCCTCGCGCTCCGCGTGCAGCGCCTCTTGGTCAATGGCCTCCAACTGGGCGATGGCCTGCACAGGGGCTGGAGTCTCCCAGGTCCCTTCATTTGTAGTTGGATGTACTCCGGCACCAGGAGGACCGTCGATCCCACATCCAACGCCAAGGTCAGCGGCCGAGAAACTTTCGTGTGCCAGCTTGTGGCAAAGCCCTCTCAAAGGCAAGGCCCCTTCCCCCTGCACCTTCAAGTTGGGCTTCAGCTGCTCCAGGTCCACTGCCAAACCTCAGCTGACCAGACCGCTGCTCGAACCCACACAAAGCATGGAAATACCGCCAAGCCCCAACCAAAGCACATCCCATGACCCCAAGCAGCCTCAAGGCAACCTCAAGTTGAAAAACGTAACTCCCATTGTTAGCCAAAGACTGCAAGCTGCAACAGAAGACAACATTCAACCCCCCAACCTCTTACCCCCAACGGAGACCTCTACATGCTGCATCCCATCGAGGGAGGCTCCAATGCTGGGCGACCCCACGCCGGAGCTCGGCGCGGTACTCGTCCTCCAGCAGCTTCGTTGCCGGGCCTTGAAAACGGATGTCAGTGCTTCCGGGGTCGGTTTAGGGTAGATGGCTTGGGAGGGCTCAGAGGCAGTAGTGCGGAGTCTCCAAAGGACGGAGAAGCTCACTAGTGACTAGTGATTAGTCATGCCGAAAAGGATGACTTGTTGGAAGCCGGATCTGAGCTCATAGAATTTTTTGTTCCACGCAACAAGCAGTAACGGGCAAGATGCCCGGATGGCCAAAGTGTCCAGCAGCACTTGCTGGTTGTTTAGCAGCTCCAGCATGATCTCCCACCCAAACCAAACGTCCAAGACCCACCCAGAACAGCATGATTCGAATGCAGGACCGCAGTAAGCCCCTACAGATATGCTCTGCAGCTCCCCGAAAGCGCACAAACCTCAGGCGGCCTCCAGTGGCCGCCTTTCGCTTGGCCTGTCCAGGGAACCAGGTGACCCAAAATCCTCAAAATGCCGAAAAAGATTCAGAACTCGTGGCCGCCATTATATCTTGAGCCTGTGCATATTTCGCGTCCGAGGTCAACCAAAAACAACCAGGTCTCCATCACTTGAGCTCGGGTGTGGCGAACACTGCTGACGGAGTAGGGGGTTCTGATGCCGTTCGCAGCTGACTTGCCAAGGTAGTGGGCATATCTGAAACACTTGTATCCTGGTGAGGCAACCCATACGTCTGAATGCCGTATACCCTAGAATAGATGTGGATATTCCTTCTATGGGTCATCATGATTTGTTATTGTCTCTTCATCATTGAATACAACAGCAACATCAGCAGCAACAGCAATACTGTCTCCGGAGGCCCTACACTACCTACTTGCCACTAGTCGTACGAACATCCTTCGCAGTCCAAGGTCTGACTTGTCGGACCTGCGGCAGCTTGCTGAAGTCGACGCGCAGCTCTGCGGCAGCCTCCGCCGGAGAAGACCTGCCGGTAGGGTCAAACCTTGCGTGTGCTTTTGGGTCTGAGGGTTTAGCGGGAACTTCGCAGGTATAGAGCTGGCGGTCATCTGCAGGTTTCGGAAACTTGGGGGACTTCAGGATGTTATGCAAATTCTGTGCACACTGTTTAACAGTGCTGCGAAGCCCTTTGATTCAATTACTTCCTTGGGCATAGACAAAAAAGTTTATGTGCGAACCCCCCAGACCTTAGACGCTGAACCATAATGAACCACAGATCGAAGATTCTGATACTTATTATTACGAACGTCAACTTGAAACCCTGCAACCTCTAACCCCTCTCAAGCCCTAAATCCCGATCGCGACTTTCCCAGGTCGAGTGGCGCGTCCAAGTCCGCGACCAGGGACTGGGCAGTGGCTTTGGGGGGGCGCACTAGGAAGAACTTTGTGGGATTTGCGACGAAAAAACTGCCAGGAATACACTGCATGGTTGTGCTGACTCGCGTTCCTGTGCATTTTGGGAAGATGAACACTACGGGCGAAGACGGTGGCTCCAACTCGTCCGACTCTGTGTTAACACTTTTCCGGACTTCGCAATATTGAAACTGTGCATAACTCAGCTTGAGCCGGGCCGCAGAAAGCTTCTTCGCGGCATTCTTGGCCTCTCTGGGCGGGCCTCCGAACGGAAGGGCGATGTCCTGAGCACGAGTGGCTTCCAGGGCCTTGGGCTTGGCTGGTGGAAAGCAACTGCCCGATGCTCCTCCAGCACACTTTTCCGCAGGAGCTCGAACCTCGCCTCACGTGGGTGGGGGGGGGGAAGGCGCACGTCATGGCACCTGCAGTCTTATTGAAATCTCTCCGCTTCGAAAGGGCTTGGAAAGTAGTTTATGTCATTAAGTACCTAGCCCGGCCTCGCGCGCCACGGCCAGCTCCGCGGACAGGGTGGCGAGCTGCCGCTCGGCCTGCAAAGGAATTGGACAAAAGATGGCAACAGCCTGAAATCGGCATTTTCGGTTTGCAAACTTGACAATGGAGGCATGTTGCCTGAGTGGCCGCCCTCTCTTTGTCCTTGAGCTCCATTCGCAGCCTCGAACAGGCCTGCAGCAAAAGCAAGTTTGGAGCAGCTCAGACATGGGCATCAATTTCGCTTGCATTTACTCTGCTCAAGGTTTGGCAACAGCCCCGAGAATCGCGTGCCGTGGCCCAGCCTGCTCTTGATTCCTCTCGAGCTCGCGTTTCTCTTGCAGGGCCTGGGCTGGGCGATTCGGAGCGGTGCTGGGCTTCGGCCTGTGCTGACCGAACCACTTCCCCCAGCCCGCCAAGAGCCCGCAGACCCCAAATGTTGGATCCCAAGGCCCCAGCCGCAGCGTGCTCCTCCACCACTTTACTTCGGCCCTTGTGTGCAGAGCGCAGCATGGATCTGAGATGCGCCCGGCTTTGGGTCACAAGTTCCTCTCAAACTGCAAGTGCCAACCACCGAAGAAAGCTCTTCGTCCTGCAACTGTGTAAGAAAACCCCTGAAGCCGCCTCTCGCCGCTTTTCGATCTCCTCAGCTCGCTTTCGAAGGATTTGCAGCTCCACCTTCGAGCCCAGAGGCGAATGCGGAGGCAGAGCTTTTCAGAACCCTGGGCTCAGAACGGCAGCGAGATGGCCCCCGGTACTTGCACTTCAGGTCTCAGCCGTTTTTGAGGACTTCTTCACGGCAATCAGGGTGCAGGGGATAGGTTGAGGATTCAGCATGTAGGCCAGAGTTTAGGGTTGCTCACCAGGCTGATCTCACAATTCTCGTCTGAGTTGTGTCAGCAGCTTCTTTGACGTCTCCTTTCCATCAAAGTTTGAGCAAGAAAGCAGGGTTTCGGCCAGAGTTTGGGGCTGCTCACCACATCCTGCGATTGGCTGCGCCAGACCCAGACATTCCACCAAGGACTGGCTCAAAAGCTGAAGACACGTGCCTCAGAATTAACGCGATAAACGAAGCTGTGGCCGTGGCCTCGCACTCCCGGGCTCGCTGGGGCACCCCCTGGACGCGGCGGCCCTGCGAGGCCAAGGCCCCAACGACTTCCGGGGGCGTCTCTTCGGCCCGGGGGCCCCCGAAACCTGCAACCTCGAGACCTGAACCGACAGAGGGCTCTGCCCCGTTCTTGGCTTTCTCAACATGAAAAAAAAGCTTTCAATCCCAAAACTGACTGACCCGACCTCCAGCGCCCACTCGATCATGGTGAGCTCGGCCTGTTTGCGCGCTTAGGCTGCGGCTACAGAAGCATATCAGCATGTTCGACTGGGCTTCACTTCGAGGTTCATGACAATCAGGAGATGCTCAGCGGCAGAACGACTGGCACAATGAGAGATGAGAGGCACCTCGACATACTCGCATGGTCTGGTCAGGGAAACACTTCAACTGGCGCCTTGAAGGAAGAAAGCTGCTGGGACAGCGCGCTTTCGCGATACTGCGCCGCCTAGATTGGAAGATGACGGCCAGGCTGCGTTCAGTAATAGCTGCTAAGGATGCACAGGGACCTGCGGCATCTGGCAGGCATCCCTGCAATTCAACCCAACTAGCTTTGAACTTTGAAACTCGAAAATTCAGTTTCTCTTTCCGGCATTCTCCTGTTGCTGCTCCGGGCTTCTGAGACATGGAAGCCGCCAAGCCCTCAAGCCTGACCTATACGCCAACAGTCTGCACGGCCTCTCGGTTCAAGCGCGCATCGCGCTCAAGCCGGCGCACCTGGTCGGAGCTCTTTATAAGAGGGACAGCGGCGCACTTAGGCTCTGCACGGGACATGCATTCCTGACCACGAGCCAAGTCAGGAACACACCTGCTACACTAGTCCGTGACGGGGGTGCACCGTCAAGCTGCATGCCGTAATTTTGTTCCACCGCGGTGAAATCAAACGGGCGAATACGAGCGAAACCCGACAACTTCAACAGTTTCCAGATGCTACCTGCTCGACAAGGATGATGCAAGGATCTCAGAACAGCTGAGGTCACGTCATCATCCACGTTCAGCGCCGCCGACAGTGCAGCAAAACGATCCGACACAGCGGCACCTGGTGCTTCGGGGATCGGAGCATGCGCCAATCTATACTGTGTTGGTGCCGCCATACAACCGCTAGTCTTCTTGCGGTCGCTTCACCAGCCAATATCCTTCTGGTTTGATTACGCACATACCGCCATGAACCATCGTTAAGGCCCGTGGCAAAAAGACTTGACGGCATTGGGACTTTCCGGCAGTAAGGTTCAGGGATGCTCAGGGTTTCGGGTTTGGTGGGGCGCAGGCGCGGATGCCCACACCACTGTCCATGCATGCCGCTGAAATGGCCGCTGCTGCTACCCCTTCACACGGGATCCCTGTGTTCATGCCCTGCAGGCTTTAAGAGTTTGGCAGGCAACCCTCGCGAACTGGGCCCGGGCTACATCTTGGGGCGGTGCACAAAAGCCGCTGCAGGATTCAGAGGTTTACGGTTGGTGGGGGTTGCTGGGTTTAGGTTTATGGTTTGCATCCTTGAGCCCGAATCTCTTCACGGGCGTTCCCATCAAAAGTAAATGCATGGGTAGGTCAACGAAAGTTGAAATCGAGCCGAAGAGCTGACGCTCTCCTCCACCGTCACGAGTCGCTCGCGAAGCCGCTGCTCCTCCTGGCAGCACAAAACTCACTGCTATGCCTAGACGTCTCACATTGTGTGTTGCTATATCACCAGTAGCATCACCACTCTTATCACTCTTGTTACGGCTTGTGCTATGAATAAGATTACCACTGTCTCTTCTTACTGACATAGCGAACGTGTTCAAATTTAGCACGGATGCGGTTTGAATGTTTTGCCTGCGTGTGTAACCTCGCCGAACAATAAAAGCGGCCCGAATCTAAACCGAGGGATGTGCAAAACCCGATCATGCCGTTCGAGCCCCGCTAAACTCCAACTGTTAAACCCCAACACTCCATCGCCCATAACCCTAAACCTGAAACCCGAAACCTGGCTTGACAACCCAAGCCTTAGCCCTCTCAACATACATCGATCTTTAAATCCGGCAACCCATAAAACTCTCGACGTTTCACTCCTGAACCTTTGACTCCAACCCTTCAGACATCCAGCCTTTCAACTGGTCTCAGCCTTTCAAGTGGTCTTAAACTAGCAGCCCTTCGAACCACTAAGCCCTATGCCCTAAGCCTGTTATAGTGCAGAAAATCCAACACATTGCAACATAATAGTGACAATATGACATACTACAAAATTTGTAAGTTATTTCCTTGACGGAATTCGACCTCCGGCCTCGGACAGCGCTTCGGCGGTGGGCAGCCTCTCTGCTGCCGCGACGGACTCGCCGAGCTCCTCTTCGGTTTAGCTTTCAAATGAAAGGTTTTGGGGTTCAAGGTTTGGGGTATAAAAATTCTGAGAAAATAGGCTTTAAAATTTAGGGTTTAGCAATCAGGGTTTTTTTTAAGTGCAGCGTATGGGGTGTGTAAGGTTCAGGGCTTGAGGCTGAAGGTTTAGACCCCAAAGAGGTTTGTAGAAGGGTTGCCATCGCCTGCATCAACGAAACAGGGGAGTACAAAGCTCGGGCGCCTCGGCTATACGACTAGAACGTAAATCCATGGGGGTCTAGGGCTGGATTTCGAGGCATGTGGGGACCGGTATCCAGGGCGCGGATTCAACATCAAGGCTTACGGAGTTTATGAGTCCATCGGCCACAAATTCTTGTTCGTAGTATGGAGACCTGGTTTAACCCCCAAACGTAAGCCCCAAAACCTAAACCCTAACCCAATTTGCACAGAGTTCTTTTGGGTCCTGCTGGCGAGCTTGGACCTCGACCTCGAACCGCCGCACGCAGAGCCTGGGCGGAGGAGTTCCAGGCCCGGGATGCTCGTGGGATGCGTGAAATTCCCTATCTTTTGGTAAGTGCACTCATATTGTATGATCAATTTCCGTCATGGTGTAACACGTGTCGCAGCCAAAGTTATATTGTACATATGTACGTGTACGTGCGTGTATGTGTATATACATAGGATATACTTGTTATTAAATTTATATGCTATAGAGAGCTCTATAGAGTACCTGCGCATCTTGTAGATCACGGCCTTCTCGTGTCAAGGAGTAAACAAAGGTCCCCCAGTGGGTTTCTGCGCAGAGCGGAGCTCCAGCCCTCCACGCTACCCTAGAGCCACGACCTAGAGCCCACGCTTGAAAGAAACATTTTGTTTGGGTTAAGGGCCTCAGGCTTACCGCTAGAAGTCGTCTATATACTATTCGTCTTATGGGCAGTGTCGGGGCTGTTACTCCTCTGTTCCATAAGATGAAGGTCATCGTGCCTACCAGCATCTCTTGTAAACATTGGAAACGAGTTGAGTATGTGCAATTGACACGACGGCTGCTCATGCTCGGGTCCTTCATCTTACTGCCGTGCAACTTCAATCATCGGCAAACATCTCAAGGACGCTTGGAGACAGTATCGACCCGTGTCAGGTACCAGTTTGGATAAGTGCAGGACTCGTCTTTGGAAATACCGCTGATGATCTCATGGCTCTTGTCAGGACTGGAACGGGGAGTCTCTGAGCAAAACACTGATTGTCGTTCTCTTTTGCCTCCAACCGTCGCGCTTCCTCCTGAGCAGTCACCAGACCCCAGACCACAGAAACCCTGAAACGAAAATCCTGAACCCTCGACCTAATCCCAAACCCTTGGGCGGATGTTCCGACTCAGAGACAGACACAACGACAAGCACGATAAGAACTCAAATCACACTGATAACATGATGGTGCCGTCCACCTCGGTGAGGGTTGTGCGAATCCCAGGGTCGGGAGGTAACTGGCAGACTGAAAACATGTAAAAGCGCTTCCGTCGTGGGAATCGCGGACGGCAAACAACCAAATAACAAAAAGAGACAAGACCTGCGTCTGGATTCTGAGCAAACCCCCACCAGCTCTCGGAAAGAAGGACAAGGACCAGAAGCTGCTCAAAGAGGTACCAGCACCACCGCCCGCCGCAACCTCACGGAACCTTTAAAGTATGAAAACAAAGGAAACTCGAAGACCAGGGGGCACCTCCACAGCCGCCTTCGCTGCCTCCGCCTGCGCCACTCCTGAGCTGAGCTCGGCGAGCTGTGTCTGCAGGACCTAGGAAGGGAGGGTCCACAGCTTTGCAGGTCTTGGGATTCGGGTGTCGGGTTGAAAAGAGTCAGATTTTCGGTGCTTTAGGGTGACAGGGTCGCTTTGAAAGCTTTTAGGCTAAAGGTTTTCATGTAGGCCTAAGGGTTTTTCGGGTGGGGTCTCAGGTTGCACGAGAGTTTCGTGCCTAAGTGTAGGGCTTTGGATTGAGGATTGTGGCTTTAGGTGCTGTTCTGGGATCAGGAACCTCCTGCCATCGGATTTCGAGTCCCGTTTGAAGCTTCGGCAAGCACCAACCGCCGAAGAGCCTTCTGCCAAGGTCACACTGCACTCTAGATGATATAGTACTTGTACAAATATATGAATATATGCATGTAGATTGTATTCATTTTTGTACTGTAGAGCCTGGAGTAGAAGATGCACAGTAAAGTCTCAGCTATGCAGAGTCGAGTTTAAGCCGAGCTTTCGGACCTCCAGGCGACCGCGGGTGGCCTCGAGGGCGTTGAAGTCGAAGCGAGTGGCTCCTGCTTGGGCGCTTTTTGGTGGCTTTGAGGGGCTTATACAAGGATGTTAAGCTGTGGGGTTGTAGGCTTTTCCCGGCTTTTGCACAGGGCTCTATTGCATCCGCCTACGCATCTGACACCCCATTTAAAACCCCGAAACCGCAGAACCCTGACGACATCTCTGCACCTGGTTGCGCACCCTCGGCTTTGACCTCGGAAAGGGCTCCGGGAGAGGGCTCCAGGAATGTTCGAAGTAGCGAGATGTGACATGCCCCAAACCGAACCTGTCGCGGCAACCGAAGCGAGAGCGCGAAGACGAGACCCTTTTTTGCCAATGATTCATTCAACCGGTGCCAGCGGATTCTGTCAACCCGAAAACGCGGATGCATTCCACCCCAAAACCTGGTTCTTTCAACCCCGGCACGCAGGTTCACTCATGGCCCAGGGAGTGATTCCGTCAACCCAAACACCTGCTTCGTCAACCCAAACAAATGCTTCGTTCAACCCATACACAAAGAGTCGCTCCAACTATGGACACGCGCGCTACCCCAACCACAAGGACTCACTCAACCACGGACACGCAGATTCTTGTGCCGCGCCCTCACCCGCTACCCTAACCACCCGCACCGCACTGCGACTAGCACATGCGCCGCAGGCGGCGCATGACGTACGGCGGCCGGCATGTTCAGGGCGCCGGTCATTCGTTAAGGGTAAGGGCTGCGTTATTCAATGTGAGACTGGCAAAAGAGGCGCCGAGATTCAGCACAGTCTGCGTTGATGGAAGCGGGCGATGAGGGTTGACTGAATCCGCACTATCTGGGTTGAGGGATGCGGCGAACAGGGTAGAAGGAAGCGCGGTTGAATGAATCTTGGTTGATGGAACCGCGCAAAGTTGAGGAAGAAGGCTTCTACCAGGAGACCATGAAGACGATTTAAGCTCGACGCCCACGATCCACTGCGGAATTCGACGACGACGACACGGCAGGAACCACGCAAATGCTGCTAGCCTGTGTTGCAAAGTGCGATGGAAGCATCCTCCAAACCAAACCATGCCGCTGCAATACCAAGCCGACACCCCTCTCGGTGTCTGGCAGCAAGATTCCCGTCGCGAGAGATCACCTCTCCACTGAGCGTCACCACCCTGAAGCCAAGGTGGAGGCTCCGTGCCGATGTTTGCGACAGCTTTTTAGTAGGGCAGCCATGGAGGCATGTGAGTTTTAAGATGGAATCACGGGCGCGCTGCTCCCAGCAGAGACGGCGGGGTCCTGCACTTGAGGCCCAACTCCTTCAGAACGCCGAAGACCTGGAGAGCGACAGCACACAGCGGCTCTCACTTGCCAAACGCCAGGGAAGTCATTCTCAAACATGCCGGCTGCGCAAACTCTCGGCCATCCTCCAAAGAATCGGCAATCACGACATCCTGTCAAAAGCAAGATCCGGGCTTGGGCTGGCCTTCCTTTCGCGCGTCCGATCCAATGTGCTCCAGCCCCCCAAGTCCAAATGTCCTAAACTGCTGTTTCTGTACTGACACCTTTCCTGCAAGTTGCGGCTGTTGGGGGAAAAGATGGGTTGGTGCGATTCTCCACTCCGTTGATCTGTGCACGGGCCTCAAGACAGCGACTGCTGGGCTATGCCTCGAAAAGCTAAGTCCTAAATGGAACTCGAAACGGGATCTCCCCCAACCCCCCCGCGCGCCGACAGGAGGAAGTCGAAAGCACGACTCAACGAGGACTCGAAGGAGATGCAACTGAGAGCCTGAGTCCAAGGGCAATAAGGTTGCAAGGTTTCTGGTGCTTTCGAATCAGCCAGGCTAGGCCTGACTGAGCCCACTAGCCGGGCGGACCGGTGGATTCAGTCTATGGGACAAGGGTGTTGGTTGCGGCCGGGAAGCACGACCTCTACAAGACACAGACCCAGACCCTGCTTGTTTGAGGAAGCATTCAGTCCGTGCAGGAAGCCAAGCACTGAGACCTCGGCCGGACGTAGCTTCATACGGCCTTGTAGGGCCTGCGTCTCGAATCATGAAACATCAAGAACCCACCCAGTGACTCCCTGTGGACGGACTGCTTCCCGGCTGAAGCATGGTAGCATCACGCGGTGTCTTCCGTTAAGCGGCTGAGAACCTGCAAAATTGTATCTGAATTTCTGCCTCGTGGAGCCGCCGGTCCATGACCATGCTCTTCAGGTTGTCCAGGGGCAGGAAAGTCAGCGGCGCCATCATCCCATCCTAGCCGCTTAAATGGAGGAGCCCAGGCACTCAACCACAGTGCTGCGGGGACACGGAAACCATCAGGCACGATCCCTGGGCCTTGAGGTGTTGCACGCAGGAGCGAGCCCCGTCCACCGTCTGCGTGACCACGGCATCCAGATGGCCGTTCAGCCTCAGCAGCACTCACAGCAGATAAGGGCGGCTGACAGCATCCACAGCTGCATGTCGCCACTTTCAATGGCACTTGGTATACTGCGTTGGGGGCAACCCGGATCCTGCGCATAGAGAGCTATGGCTATGAACCTTTCCCAGGAGTTCTCGCGTGAGTGTGTCGCGTGTGGGTACATGCACGTGTCCTTGTGGCCGAAATGCGGCAAATACAAATCCCAGCCGCAAGGTGTTCCGCCGCAAGGTGTTCTGAAGAGTATCTTCCTGCTTTGGACAGCGTCCGGGCAGCAGACGCTACATTGACCGCCACGCGGAACCGTTTCTGAACGGGGTTGCAGAGCTTCACCACCTGAGCAGTGCATGTCACGCAAAGGAAGGTAGCAGTGGTCAACTGGACTCCCCAATTCAAAAGTTTATGTCGCTCTCGGAATCCTGAGCCCTACACCCCACGGGGCATAAGCAGAACATGCCAAGTCCTGTGCCCCAAACTCTCCTTGGCCCATGGCCCGACCGAAGACACCAGGCACGGCGTGCGACAGGTCCGTGCACACCCGGGTCAATCTGGGCTGAGGGCTCCCCGGGGGACTTCCAGGGCTGGCTGAGGAGTTTGAAGCGCACCTCCTCTCCATCTCGATCTGACGCTCCGTTGCGGTGATGTCTTGAATCTCCTCGCCACAGGAGAGTGAGAGTACACCAAGCAGGAGCGGCTGAGCTCGGTAAATGCGAGTTTCCTAACGATCAAAGCCAACGCCCTGAAACTTCCCTGCAAGGCTCCTCAAAGATCTGGCGGCGCTCTGATTCAAGCTGCCGCCTGCTCTCTCCTGCAGCTGCAGCACGAGTCCATGCTTGGGTACTCCGCGGTTTGGGCCAAAGCCCTGCTTGAATGCTCCACCTTCGCGGCCTCGTACGTAGAATATTCAGCTCTTCTTCAGTCTCTCGGTCTCCCTCTATCTTCTTCATCAGGGCATGGCCACCGAGACCCCCCATTTGTTATTGGGCTTTGGAGGAGTGTGAAAGTTTGAATGATGTCTCCTGTATGCTAAACTCCGCGCATTTGTCATGTGTTTTTAGGTTTAGGCTTGTAAGGTTTGTCCCTCCTCTCTCTCTCTCTCTCTCTCTCTTCCGGGCCCCCACCCCGTGCGGTCTCTCATGGCGGGAATGATCCTGCCCCGAGATGTTTTCCAGGAGGGCTCGGCTTAGGTATGTCCCTCTCTCTCTCTCTCTATCTCTCTATCTCCATCGACACGATCTGATAACCTAAACTCCTGAATCCTGCTGTCTGTGAAAAATTGAGGCGGCGTCGGAGGGCTTGGCATTTTCCGGCGAGCTCCTGAGGGCAACTGCCACTTCACAGCATGGCGGCGTCTCTTCACAAGCTGAAGAACACTAGTTCACTAGTTTCAGGCCTACCGTCATGGAAGGCCGCTAAGCACTGCAGACCTCAAGGCACGGAGCCCGCCTGCACTTCTCCCTTCTTCTGGGCAGCTTCTGCTGCAGAGCTTTCGTGCCTGTGGCACAAAAAGCCATACTCAAGCTGGCCTTCCCCAACCCCCTCAATCTGCACGGAGACTTCAAGCCAACCCGGAACCGTGAACCGCAAAGCCCGAAGCTCGAAACCAAACCCTTTTCCGCACGGGCTTTGGTTGTCTGCCAACCCTAAACCCCCAGACACGAAACCCCGAACCCCAAACCCTAAACCCCCTAAACCCTAAACCGGTTAGCCTGCGGGAGCCGCGCCGCGCTGAGACCCTAAACGAAAGCTGCCGGGCTGGGCTCCCAGGCAAGGCTCGAGCGGACTGCACTGAGGCCCTGAGATCCTCCACCTGAGGAGCTCCAATTTCTGGTGGTTTAGGGTTATTGAATTTAATGACTTGCTTTTTGCGAGATTGGTGAGTTTAGGGTGTGTAGAGCGTTCAGGGTCTACAGTTTACGGTTTCAAAGGAGAAGGCACTAGCAACCGTGGCAGCAGTGGCATTGGTCGGACATGCTGCTAGTAGTAATGCTAATCATCATCATCATCATCATCACCATCATCGCTAGCGTACGGAAGGGTTCCCTGCACATTGCCAAGTGAAGCGTTGGAGGCTGGAGGCTTTTCAGGAGCTTCAGGTTCCCCAACTCCACCGCCCACTCGCACCCTGAGCTCAAAGACATGTGTTTCCTTGGAGCCCTCAACACACACTGCCCATCCCAACAGGCACCCTACCAGGGGGTTGCAGATTGAATTCAATCCTATGGTCTACAGTCTTGAAACCCATGGCCTTCTGCTGCAGGCTCTCAGTGCGCTGCGCGGCCTGCGAACCCAAGCTCCGAAAACGCGACAAAGCAGACTGGACACCGGGGCACAAGATGTTGCAGCTGAAACACAAACGGGCCGGGGATCCGCTGGTGGCTTTGAAGGGATGGTCAAGCGCTATAGCTTCCGTGAAACCACTGTCAAAGATTGAATGCCACCCTTTCCGTGCAGAAGAACATGCTGCAGGGCAGCAATGTGACTTGATCTGCTGTTTGCCGGTATTCGCTGGCTTTGCTCCTGCGATGTTTGGACTCCTATGCATCTTTTTACATGCCTTTGTGTGCGAATATAAACTCACAGGTGCATGCACACGTGCGCGCGCGTGTGTGCACAGGTAGGTAGGTAGGTAGGTAGGTAGGTAGGTTGTCAAATCGGTATATCGGTAAATGGGTGGCCCGGTTCGTCGGTGGGTGCGAAGGTAGCTCCGGCAGACAGACAGGCAGGTAGGCAGGTAGGCGGGTAAGTATGCATGCGAGTGTGCAATATGTGTGTTTATACATCCTTGTGTAGATGCATCTGTTGTGTATGTATATAGACACAAAGTTGTGTTTGTCCTTCTGTATGGCTACTTTATCTATCTCCTGTGCAACTACCTGTCGATCTGTCTGTCTATCTAACTTTATTTCTATCTGTCCTTCCGTCTCCGTCTGTCTCTGCCAGCATGCAGTTGCTGGCATCCACCGCGGCGCACAGAGCGTGGTGGGCCAGATCTGAGCCTCTAAGGGTCTAACAATGCCAGACATCTAGCTAGCTTGGCTGCCTCTTTATGGGCCTGTCTATCTTCTATCAATCTGTCTGTCCGCCTGATTCTCCCATCTATCGTCTGCATCGGTGTCTGCAGATGCATGGACTCCTTCTCCCTAAACCCTAAACCCAAACCCTACCTGAAACCCTAAAACCCCTAACCCTCTTCCCACCCCAAACCCTAAACCCTAAACAACCCCAAACCCTAAACCCGAAACAACCCCAAACCCTAAACCCGAAACAACCCCAAACCCTAAATCCCAAACAACCTAAACCCTGAACAACCCCAAACCCTGAACCCTGAACAACCCCAAACCCCAAACCCTAAACCCTTTCGGTTGCGGCCTCCCTTCGGCCCCTGTCGGCCGCTGCGCGGCGCTTGGCCAAAGCTCGGAGCTCGACTTCGAGCTCCCGGGCCTTCTGAAGTGCTCGGATTTGTGCTGCTTGAATGTTTGAGGGTGAGATACATACATATATATATATATATATATCTGTATATATATATATATACATGGATATGTGTCTGTCTGTGTATATGCATATGTATATGCACGTGTATGTATATAGATGTATATATATATATATATATATATATATGTATATGTATATGTATATATATATGTATGTATGTATAGCTGTGTGTGTGTTTGTGTGTCTGTGTCTGCGTGGGGGTTTGGAAGTTTCAGGCCTAAAGTGGAAGGCGTCACACTTTGTCTTGAAGATCGTGCGTGGACTTCTCTGGTGTTGGAGGGCCTTCTGCCCTTCTGACAGGGTCGAAGAGGAAGCGGTAGATTCCTCTGGGCGAAAACCCACCGAGCGAACCTCCATGACAGAAATCCAACGTTGAGTAAGTGCCAGTAAGTGCTCAGTGATCAAAACGCTTAGATCGAAACCTTCGCACGTTTCCTCCCCAAAATAATAATACGAATAATAATAATAATAATAATAATAATAATAATAATAATAATAATACTAACAATAATAATAATACTAAAAACAATATTAATAATAATTACAGTGAAAGCCCCCCGTGGAGATCAGCCTCTTGGCTGCTCGCAGACGTCAAGCGCTCGGTTTCCTCCTGGTTGCATGCAGCCGCTCAATCCTCCAGGCTTCCTCTAAATAGGGCTCGAGGTTCAGGTTCGGATAGAACTAGATGGAAGACTAAATAGGGCTTAGGGTTCAGGTTCAGATAGAACTAGATGGACAGATGAAGATTTCGATGAGTGGACTGAGTAGATGTCAATGTAGATGTACAACACACGAACGAACAAGAATGCCGAGCATGCTGCTGAAAATACAACCTGTCTAAATGCATATTACTATTCTTCACACCGTGCTCTTTCTGCTGTACTGCTTTTGTCTGCAGCTCCTGAGCTTGCCGGAACTGCTCCATCTGCTCAGGGCTGAGGGGCGGCTCCTTCCTGTCATGTTAGGTTTTAGGGTTTTTGAGTTTACGGAGTTCAATTAGCATTTCTGTGGGAGTTTAGGTTGTTGAGGGCATGGGATCGCCGCCAGCACAGACGTGGAACAAACCCTGACAGTGAAGGTGATCTTCTCTGGCCTTTGCCGTGGTGTGTACCTCCACAGTCCAAATCAACAACGGAGCCCGGAGCCCGGAGCCCGGCGGGGCGCCTCGCTTCCTGGCGAACCAGGTCCAGCTCTGCCTGCACCGAGGCTTCAGGGCCCGAGGCTCCGCTCCTCTCCGTCGACTTAGATTTACGCATTGGCATGGTTTCAGGATCATTCAAGGTAATGTAGCACCCCAAGAATAAGCCAGTCTGCTAGCACTTCAATCGTCTGAAGCCTTGAGAATGCGATTCCAGGCGGAGGTGCCAAAACGCCATAAACGACCTTTAGCACCCGTGTCTGAAATCTGAACCCGGCGAGTATTCCGACCCTCCCACAACCACAGTGCACCTCAAGGCCCTCGAGCTTCTTGCGTAAGTCCGAGGCCTGGAGATCAAGATTCGGCTCAGGAAGCACGGACGTGGGCCGAGGAGGGCCAGTATCTTCGATGTACGGGCGTTTCAGAGTCCCGTGCCTGGCCCTCCAAACGTATGCGGCGCTGGTCGTCCAGCTCGGCACGGGTGGAGAGTTCCTGGAGAAGCGGCTCACATGCACTGTTTATGTCGCATGCGCCTTGCGGCTTCTGGATACCAAGTTGCGTCTTTGCTAGTTCGAATCTGCATGCGCCCCATTGCAAAGCGGCTGTTACCAGACCTTGATTGAACTTTCAACTGTACAGACCTTGACCCCAAAACCAAAAAAACTTGACCTTGGATGCTACACGGCGGCCTCGTGTCGCCGCTGGGCGGACTGAAGTTCCGCTCGCACCTGCTTCTCATCATCCGACTTTACAATGCAAATGACCTAAAAGCTGAATGGACAACAAAGTAACCTCAGTTATGAAGGGCTGTGACCGATCCAGCGCACAGCTAGATCACATGAGTGCTTAGGCACGAAACATCAGGACATTGTTGTCCTCCTCCCTTTAAAATCGCCCTACTGCTGCTTCTCCTTCACGGGGGGACTGGCTGGCCGACGCAGGGTCGGCTGCCCAAGATGCAACAAGGTTGCCCGAGATGCAAAAAACTTGTTGCTTTCGTGCATTCGGACAACATGCCTAAAGGCGAGTCGACATGCAGGGTTTGCAGCCCGAGATGCAGAAACGATTTTTGCATTTCGGAGAGATTCACGGGAGTTCCCATCAAAACTCGAGTGCCTGTCTCACCAGCACTGAAGCCGCATGAACAGGGAGGTACTGAGCATACTGGTGATTCTGATGATGAAGCTTCTGGAAGAAGCCGAATCCGCCACCTGCTCGCCTCTTCCGATGATAATGAGAGCTGATTCCGAGACCCAGGCATCCTGCCCTGAATGCCCAAGCCTAACTGACCAGAAACATGAAGACGAAGCTCTCAACCTTAACACGACAGAAACCAACAACAGCAAGAACAACAGCAAGAACAACAGCAACAGCAGCGTACCGCCAGCAACGGAACCGACACCTAGAGGGAGGGTGAGGGAGGTGGGCTGCAGTTGTTTTTTTGTTCTTCCGGATTTGTGAGGGAGCGCAGGTTCTGGTTTTGGCTGGATCTCGAAAAGTGATCTGATATGATTTGTTAGGTTTCGAGAGGTTTTGTGTTTTTTTTTGCCTCCGGTTTTCTGGAAAAAGGCCTGGCCTGGCTCTGCTCAGGGCTCAGCTGCTCCAACTCTGACCGCGCCGTGGACAGGAGCCGCTCCTCGGCGGGTCGCTTCTCTTACCTTTGGTCTATAAGGGCTATACTATAAGGGATCTATAAGGGTACTATAATATATAGGGCCTTAATGATCCTATAACTTACCTTTGGTTAGTAGGGAATGGAGGAATGGGGTACAATTGTAACTACTATTACTACCATTCTTCTCTTCCCTAGTAACCAAGGTCAGTTTTTCAATTATCATCGAAGACACAAGAAGCAAGCAACTAATATAGTACCCTAAATAGCAGGATCCTTATGATAAGGACCCCAATATGATGTACCCTAATTTTCGGAAACTCCCAAAAAGCAAGCAAGTTCCCAAAGGCAGAAATCAAAGCAGCGGAAATTTGGGATGTTGGGTGTTGTGTTTGTCCTGCTCTTCTCCGTTTCTTCATGGCCTGGAACTCCCACCCCCTCCCAATGCACAGTGCTTGCGACGGCATCATTTGCACTCAGTACCGTTTCGTCATCTTGTAAACCGACACCTTCTAGGTGGGGCTCTTGAGCTCTGAATTCTTTCAGCACTCAGCAGAGCACCGTAAACAGCTAATGGCAAAATAAGGCAAAACACGCAGCATGCTTTGTACATGTCTGTACACACTGAGAGATGTTGAAGGTGACTGCCCAATCGACATCACACAAGCAACACCTCCACATGCAGGACACAGCCGTTCACGCACCAAGCAACTCCAAAACCTCAAACCACAACAGTCATTGTCGGCAGCAAGTCTGCGGCAGCTTTTCGAGCAGCCATGGCCTTGAGAATGTTGGAATAGTTCCAAGTCAGGTCCCTGGCGGACTTGAGCTCACCTGTGTTGCGATCGATCTGCTCATTCATGTGCATTCCATTCGTGAGGTACTTCTTCATGAGAAGCAGCAGGGCATCACCAGCTCCCAGCAGATTCTGCGGTGTCGGCTCCTGTCCCAAGAGGTCGGAGAGCAGAGCCTTCACCTCCGCAGCTGGCGGCGTGTGCGCAGCAGCCGCTGCCTGGCGGTAGAGCAGCATGGATGCTGAGGCCGTCAGCAACACCCAGGGATTTCCCCCATCGTAACTGTCGCCCTCGTAGCGACCGAAGAGGACGCCCGGAAGGCCCTTCGATGCGGCCTGCTGATTGATGGCGTAGCTTCGGCAGAAGAGCTTGCTCAGCTCCGACAGAGTGGCAACGACCTCCTTGTTCAGGGGCGCAAAGACTCCGTCCTCCATGTCCCCAACGTTGAATGCCTCGATCACAGCAGTGTCCTTGCGGCGGTTCGAGGACTCGAACACATAACCCGAGGAGTCGATGTGGGATTTCAACTGCTTGCTCAGGGCGTCCGCCGTCTCGCTGTACTTGGACGCCCGGGTCTCGTCCCCACCAACGGACTTGGCGAAGGCAGCACCCTGCTTCAAGGCCTTGCGCATGGTGTAGCGGTTCCAGAAGAAGTCAGGAGACCGCACCTCCTCCCAAAGATCGCAGGTCTCGCTGTCGTAGTTCTCCACCACCCAGTCCAGGTTCTGCTTCACCAGGGCCCAGACACGGCTGCCCATGCTGGGCTTCAGTCCGGCATAGGCCATGGCAGTGATGGAGCGGAGACCTGGGCCATCGTTCTGCGGCCGGCACCAGCCGCCAGTGTAGGGGGTGCCTTCCGGGATGAGGTACTTCGGCTCCACGAGGATGTTGATGTTGTTTGGGTCCGGCTGGTTCTGGGATCTCTCCAACCAAGAGATCCAAGCATCCATCTTCGCCTCCATCTCCTGCAGGGAGCCCTTAGACTGCAGGTAGGCGTTCATGCTCAACGCGCCGTCACGTGCCCATGCATAATAGTAATCACCCCCGGGACCAGTGGCATGGTCGGGGGAAGCCATGACCTCGCCAGTTCCCTCCGCGTCCAGGTTCGCCTCGAAGTACTTCACGACCTCCTGCAGCTCAGCATCAGAGAAGGGAGTCTGTGGGTCTGCTCCGATCTTGCAGCTCTGCACTTTTCTGTCGCTGAAGAAGCACCAGGGCAGGTTCTCTGGATTCGGATCCACGGGAGACCAGCAGCAGCCAGCTGCGGTGCAGGAGCTCTCGTCCATCTTCTGGCAGTCTACCCGCTCTGTCGGGGCGATCTGCTGGCATCCATCCGAAGAGGCCCAGATGGCAGGCAAGATGCTGGAAGCGCACAGAGCCCTCAACATGGTAATCGCACAAACGCTTTGGAAGCTACTGCTTGGACGCTTTCTCACTTGAGGGCAGGGACGCGGCGGCGATCCGATCCGTCAGAATGCTTAAGTGCCGAAGCGTGGGCAGAAGCCGGAACCTCCTCTCGCGCAAAAGCAAAAACCTGAGTGCTGAGAGCAGCTCGGCATCCGCAGCGGCTTGCGAAGCCTCGCGCTGCTCTCGGAAAAAAGCTTGGGGGGCTCGGCTCCAGGGCTCTTTGTCTTGGGGACCTTTCGGGGCCCCCGCCCTCCATAGAGCCTTGCAACTAGACTAGTTACGCGTACGCGCAAGAAGGGGTCGCAGCGACAAGGCAACAGGAAAGTCTGCACATCAGGAGATCTTGGCAACGGCGCAGGATTCAGCTTGTGTGGCGGTCGGTTGAAGGTTCAAGTAGATCCTACACCGAACCGAAGGCACCAGACCCTGCGAAAGGTGGGCATGGAAGGGCCTCCAAGCGATCCAGGTCCGCATCGCCGAGCTTCTGTTGGGCAGCTTCACGATCGGCCTGTGCAGTCTTGCTAAGGCTGTTATGGCCTGCTGGCTAAGGTCTAGCCACGCATGTGGAGCAGCCACGAAGGTTTTCAGGGCATGCCGGATGATTTGCTGCGCGTCGCTGATATCTCCAGAAATGTTGTAAGCTCTTAATATGCTCCAGCTGATGAGTTGCTCCATTCTCTGCCCACCGTTGCGCTGGCTCTGCAGAAGCCATGGGCTTAGCCTGATTGCATTCCACATTCCAGAATGCCAACATTCATATGGCATAGCATACTACAACATAATATAGCATAACAAAGTATGATACAATGTGACACACCGTTCTACAACACGATATGTTCTAATACACTATAACACAATAACATAAGACACGGTAATGTAATATGGCACAATACAAGATGGCGCAACATAACGGACGTGTAACATAAGAGAACTGCAAATTGCATAGAATATGACTTAATCTATAACCGATTCTAACCCAGTCCAACCGAGTCTATAATCGTATCTAAACTGATCAAAACCCAGTCTATTGTGAGATGTACTCGAACCTGACATACTGACATGAAGTACAACATTATATGATAGTTTGACATAACATGTCACAAAATGACAATATAGTATATTATTGCGGTATAGTACGAGACAGTATAGAGCAGTATAGTATGGCATAGCAAGGTATGGTACGTGGTGTGGTGCAGTCTGGTAGAGTATGGTATGGTATGGCACAATTCGAAGGCAACAAAGGCCACGCCTCTACGGCCTCGGCTTCCCTCCTCGCCTCCGCGATTCCTTTGGAGAGATCCTGAAGAACATGCCACAGGATAGCCGGATCTCAGAAGGGTCCTCTTGTGAAATAGCGCCATAGGTTCTCTAGGGCATGTTGTCCGTGTGCTACCCTCACACGCTTGCATACAGTCTTCCAATCAAGCATTGCCTTTATCGGTCATGACAACAAACCAAGTCACGGCCGCTTTCCATATCCGAACCTACATAGACATGTAGATGTATGCCTTCATCTACGCACCTTTACACTATGCATGAAGTGCGCGTATGCGTGTATGCACGCATACATGTAACACATGACATGCATTTATACGTGCAATGCATGTGATGCATGCATGTGCATGTATGCATGTGTGCATGTGCGTGTTTGCGTGTGTATGCATGCATATGTGTGTGTATATGTCTGTGTATGTCTGTGTAAATATGTGTATGTTTGTGTATGTATGTGTGTGTGTGTGTGCGGGTGCACGTGTATGTGTGTGTGTCCTGCGTCTGTGCATGTGTATGTATGTGTATGCGTGTATGTGTGTATATGTGTTTACATATATATATATATATATATATATATACACACACATGTTACATATTCTACACTGTCAAGGTATGTATGTTGATATATAAATACATATGCTCATATACATAGACTTGAGCATGGACACACACGTATACATATACATAAAAGCATACGTATACATATACATCCAAATACATATCTAGAGATGTAGATATGTATGTATATATATATATATACATGTATAAATATATATACAAACGTACATACATATATATACATACATACATACATACATACATACATGTGTGTATAAAATCTAAGCAAAGACAGCCCTTCATTGCGAAGTAGCCCTTCGTTGACAAACAGCTACTAGTGCTACTTGTCTGGCATGAACCCTGTTTCAATCACCGCTAGACCGAAGCCGCCAGGGTTCAGCTTTGGTTCAGGGTTTGAAGGGCCAGGCTAGACTCTTCTCCAAGACTCGTCCGTGCCTCCGCTACGGACTCGGTGGAGAGAAGCTGAAAGAGGATGAACTCCGTCTGAAGCAAGTGGCATGTGCTTGAGAGATCGTTACAAGAATGTCAAGGGATTGCGGCATGCAAAGCTGAAGCTCCACCCTCGCTGTGGCTCTGCCGTGCGCTTGGGGCAACTGATATATGCCCCCAGGATCAAGCTCGAGTTCCAGCGCGTCACAGACCGAAGTCTTACATTTTGCTGTGGCAGTCGTCGCAGTGGCAGTAGTGGTCGATGGTAGCAGCAGTAAAACGGGCGAAAGCCCTAGCGGGGGCCTGCAAAGCCCGGTGCTCGGATTCCATTTCCTGGTACCTCGGCGCACTTTCGAATCATCTAGAAATCTAGGACTCCTGTAGATTTGGGTTCTCGGGCCCTGCTTCTTCACAACTGTAGGTTGTGTTGCGGCATGGGCACGATTCACTTAGACCAAACCTCGGAGCCAATCCATGCTCCATTTTCAACCCTCCTAAACCCCCGCAGGCGGCCAGGATCCCGGGGCGACTGCTTTTCGGCTTCCTCCTTCTGCTGGGCCATCCTCTTCTTCTCGTGCTGCGCGTCCCGCTTCCTGCGGCGAAAATGGGAGAGCGACTTGGGATCTGCAGATCTGGGTATGAGGATGGTACGAGGTTTCTGGGAATGCCAAGGCCAGCACAACACGATGCTGAAAAGAGGGATGCCAGAAAAGGTCCCATCATATACCACATCGTGAGCGGTGTCTAATCCAGAATTGTGATTTTTAGGCTTCAGCAGGCTGAAGGAACATCGCGTCAATCCCAAAACCTTCTCCACAGCCTCAAAAGCAAGAGATCGCCACAAAGCCTTAGAACTTGGCACAGGCTCGGCGAAGGGCGTGCACCATCACAACCGCAAGAGGCAAGAGCAGGCGAGTCATGAGACGAGCCGGCCCCAACTCCGAAACCACCCCATTGGTGTGAAGGCTCGTCACAAGTCACAAGATAAACCCTGCAGTCTAAACACCGAGCGCCCCAAACCCGGGAAAGACTCCAGCTGAATCCCTCAAACCTCCCGTGCGTAAGATCCTGGTGTAGAGGTCGCGGGCTTTATCTTCTCGGGCAGCCTCCGGAGTGCAAGCTAAGGCTGGAAAGTCGCCTGAGTGTGTTCTAGCGGAACTTTACACAGTTAAACAGTTAAACATGTTAGAGGAAAGCAGCCCAATTCGACATCTTGGAAGAACTGTAACTACAATCCTGAAGCTGCATGTCGACTGTAAGTGCAGATGATAATCGTTATAGTATCTTTACACAACCCCTTTTAGGAAACATACTGTTGTATTGTCGGTTCCCACACTGGCGCTGCTCCCATCATCTGACATACCCCAAAAATTCACTGTTTTGGGCTTTCTCTGCGCATCCGAACCTTCTCCGAGGCCAGTTTTTCGTACTCTCCGCTGAGAGCCACAGAACCAGAAACCTGGTCCGGTCATCGAACTACGCATTGACTCGTTTCAGGCGCTCTCTTCTGCCCGGCAAAAGGCCACATTGATGATAGTTTCACGAGAGGCTTCCCAGCCTGCTCGAAAAAAGCTGTGAGATCTTTGCCCTGGCGATGCGCTGCAGCCTCGATATCCTCGGATGTTGAAACAGCAATTCAACGCCGATGGCTTGACGCGCTGTTGACCGACAGGATGTAAAGCATACAATTCTGCAAATACTTCTGTGCTCTTCCAAGTTCTGCCTTGCTTGTCGTGGCTCGTAGTAAGACCTGAGGTCTCGGCCCCCTGGAAGACAAGGAAGTTCCTTGCCTTGGACAGGATGTTGATCTCCTGTGGGCTTGTGGCCAATGGAGGTGGCGGACTTTACGTCCCCCTTCTCCAGCATTGCGTGCGCTCTACATTGGGTGTTCCGACCTCGAGGCTCGCGAGATACGCTTCCTGGGACACCGCCTCGCAACGATGGTGGGAGGCAAATGTGAGGGCCTCTGCCAAATGTTTCCCAGCTAAGGTTTTACTTGAGTTTGGCCTTCGCAAACAGCTACCCAGCTACCAAATCCACAAACGGCCACCGATGATCGTGATTGTCCCAAAAGCAAGGAATTTGGGCTCACATGTTTGGCTCCGAGCTTGCGAGGCAAATGCCTTTCGCGAAACTCGCCGTGCCTGCCCATCAATCTGGTAGCGTGCCTGCACTGCAAAAAGTGGAAATGGGACTCTCGGTAGAACCATGCACAATATGTACGACCGTCGCGGTACGACAAAAAACTGTCACAGTTCCTCCAGTCTGTACACGCCTTCCGACCTCGATCTGAAGCAACAGAATATCGGGGACGGTTAGTGCCCGGTTACCACCATCGAATCTCGACTCAGGCCCGTTTCATGGGCCTTCACTACTCAAGTGGCTGCCAAAAAACACCTTTTGAACACTTTGTAACACAGACAGCTAACTGTTGAAAGCAAAGGCCTCGGTGCTGGGTTGTATGACCTCGAGCAGGTGCAGCTGTCATGCTGCCCAGGTTCACGCAGACTCTCTCTAGGATCCCTGCCCGGCGAAACGTCTTGGTCTCGGGGCAGCCTGAAACACGGGTCTCAAACACAAGCTTCAGAACACCCTGGTCCACGGCTCCACGGTCACATCGGCACGGCGCAAGACCCTCAACCTATCATCCCTGCATGGGTTCTCGCCTTCCTGGGGAGCATCAAATCTGTAGACCTTCCACTGTCGACAGCGAAGCAGCGCTGCACAAACAAAGAGAAGCACCACACTGCTGCTACCTACCGCTACTGCAACTGCTACTGCCATTGCTACTGTTCCTTCTACAACTCCTCCTCATTCCTAATCCCACTACTACTACTACTACTAGTACTACTCCTCCTCCTCCTCCTCCTACTACTACTACTACTACCACTACTTCTACCTACTACTACCACCACCACTACCACTACCACTAATGCTACTACTACTACTACTACTACTACTACTACTACTACTACTACTACTACTACTACTACTACTATGACGACAACTTATCACTACCACAATCAGCACCACCGCCACCACCACTGCCACTGCCACTGCCACTGGCACTGCCACCGCCACTTCCACTGCCACTACCACCAGCACTACCACCACTACCACTACCACTACCACGACCACCACCACTGCCACTACGACTACCACTACCACTGCAAGTACGACTACAGCACCAGTACCAGTACCACTACCACTACACCGACTGCGACTGGTACTTGTAGTGGTAGCAGTGGCAGCAACATTAGACGTAGGAATAGACGTCGTCCTTCCGCCCATCTCGAGCAGCAACGAGATCACTCTACTACACTTCTGTTCTCTCAGGCCCCACACCAGCTCTACCGAGCATCTGCGCTGCGCAACATCGTCGACGCTGTCGTCTTCTCGGCGGTGCACAAGATCCTGCCGTGACGCAGCTCTTGGCATTGCTACAACGTGCTGGCATCGTCAACACAGATTGCTCCGAGATTCAGTTGCACTCGCGTCCCTCTCGCAGCTACAACGACTACTACGACTACTAATAATAATAACTACGACTACTACGACTACTACTGCTACTGCTACTGCTACTGCTACTACTACTACTACTACTACTACTACTACTACTACTGCTACTACTCAACTCCTACTGCTATCTACCACTGCTACGGCTACTACCACTACCACGACTACTGATAATCCTACTCCTACTTCTACTGCTACGGCTACTGCTGCTGCTACTGCTGATGCTGCTGCTACAACTACACGTGCGCTACTGCTACCGCAACTGCTACTGCTGCCGCTGCGGCTACTGCTTCTACTACTGCTACTCTTACCGCGACTGCTCTGCTACCGCTGCCGCTGCCGCTACCGCTACTACTGCTACTGCAATTGCTATTGCTGTGCTACTGCTACTGCTACCACTACCGCAACTGCTAATGATACTGCTGCTGCTGCTGCTGCTCCTACTGTGACCGCGCCCGCTACCTTTCCTGACTCTGCTACTGGTACCGCCGCTCCGGTCACCAATCCTGAGTAGATGCAGATCTTGTCCGATCGAACTCGCTAGGTCCTGCAGCCGATCCCCTCGAAGATGTCGTGTGCGGACACCCAGGACGAAGCTGACGGCATCCATCAGGTTCGATTTGCCCGCGCCATTTGGGCCTGTGATGATGCTTGGCGTGATTGTAAGCATCTTCTACTGCAGGGCATTTGCGAAAAAGCCGTCTTCAAGCGGTCTTCATTATTCGTCCCCCTTGTGCGAAATTATCGATGCTGTACAGTGGAAAGACGTGCACAAAGCCAAAACCAACGACGAAGACCAACAGTTGGGGAGTTCTCGTCACCGTGGTCGGATTTGTTGTGGAATTGCACAGATCCAGCATCCACGGACAGCTTGACCTCTCGGGCTCGGGCCGACAATGCAGGTGAACTTTTTGAAGGGTCCCACTCTAACCTGCCTGGCGACAGCACTTACAGGGCGGTGCACCACACCTATTTCAGAATTGTGACGTACTGAGCATGCATAGTGCTTGTCCTACACATGACTGGTGGAGGTTGAGGCAGAAGCTCATGTGCAAGCTGGCCAGCGAGACCCTTCATAAGACTTGAAATTGTCCAGCACCACTTCTTCCACCTGGCATGAAGGTGAGCACTGAGAGTCTACAGCTTAAATTGTGTATAAGGCTGCTTTGTGAGCACAGCGGGACAAAACAGGAGTGCCCCACGTGTCCCTGCATCTGTCCTACTGATTTCGGCGCATTGGCATTGGGTATGTTATATACACATATATTCTAAGTATTATATATTTCCTCTCAGTCGTTCATTTTTTATAATATACATATATATATATATATACATATACATGTACATATACGTATACTTTTACAAAAACATATACATATACATAGGCATGTACGTTTACATTTACATATGCATACATACATATATATATATATATATACATATATATATGTATCTTTCTGCATCATATGTCTCATTGGCCACTAATCACTAGTCATGCTGAACTCCACGCGGGATGGTTTTCTAAACTGCCATAATTTGCTCGACATGCTTCTTACAGCTGTGAGCCAGTTCCAGTCAACATGGTCCTGGAAGACACTGCACTCGCAAAGGCCAGATCAAAAAATAGCCGAAGAGCCTTGCAGACGTCGGTCACACCTTCTTGAATCGACTGGCAGCGAAGTGACTTCAGGAACCTGAAACACATTGGTGCTCCAGGGCTGCATCGCGGGACGCGGTTTCGCTCCGTCTTGGAGCGGCTGCCATAGCACGCCTGACTGCCTCAGCCCATGAGATGTCGAGGCTTGTCTGATGAAATGTGGAAGGGTGAGGTTCTTGCCACACATTCGAAACAGCAGGTCACGCTCTTCACAAGTTGCAGGAACCCGTTTTCGACGCAAACAAGCATGGTTTGGCCATCAGGACTTCAAGGAGTTCCTTATCACTCACTCACTACCGGTACAGGTGGCAGGGCCTCTCATCATGCAACATCTCGTCGATGGACTCAGCCAGGCACTCCATGTTCGGAAGCTTGTCCATCTTCTTCATCTCGTCTATAAACTTCCAAACGTCCTGCCATCCGATCGACAGATGCTCTTTTTCGTCCTTACCTCCTGCCACGTAGTCTTTGGTGACCCGCGGCTTGATCTTGCTTACCTCTCCCTTGTTGTTGATCTTGGTAACCACTGTTGCCTTCAACACGTAGAAGGAAATCACGGGCGCGCTCTCATCATACCCGGCCAGCACATGACAACATCTCCTCTTCGGAAAGGACCGTGTGTCCGACGAACACTTTGCCAAACCGGACTGCTTTTCGTATCCCTTCGGCGGTGTGCTCGGTTTCCCTTCTTGCTTCATGTGGCCGGTCCTCCTGTCGTACTCCAGCAGACAGCAGGTTCCTGCCTCAGGGTCGTAGAAGCGGTGCATGTCCGGCTGATTAGAGCGAGAAGCAGCTGCACCTGTGTCGGGACAATCTTTCTCGGAGCTGACGGCCATGCAGTAACACTCAAAGCCCAAGCCGTTGACATGGGTCGGGTTTGCGTCGAGCACGGCCGACGTGATGTTTGCAACGTTGCGAACTGCTTGCGTCATGCCACCGAATGTGACGATGAGGAGCGCCACAAGCGAGCGACCAAATGCCATGCCAGCGATCTGGATTGACAAAATACGGGACTGTTTAAACAACGGCACTGATAAATAGCCTAGAGAAAAATGAGCCAGAGCGAGACAACGCAAATCTGCTCCACGGCTGTGAAGCACAAAACAGACCTCGTGTCCACAATACATACGGAAGATCTTCGCTTCATGCATGCCAGTTCATATCATGCCGGCAACATGCTGTTCTGCTCGCCTGACCAGAAACATTGCTAGCACTGCTGCTCACCTGGTTGTTATGAGAATCAAGCAGACTTTCAGATGGTTCAAGTGCAGGTGTGTCGGACACATCAAGGTACTGAGCCCGGCTGCCCGGTTTGACGCTCTCGATGCTTTTGCAATCCTTGAGCGAAACTGCGAATTGTCAGTTCGCCTGTGTTGCTTCCTATTCCCTTCCCAGTCCTCACGCGGCTCCAGTGCATGCGTTCCGTCCGCTCGTCGCGCTTGAAGCCAACGGCAAGGCACAAGGAACATCCATGCAATGCAAGTTCATACGGTTAGACCCAAGTCTCGCAACTGCAATAACTTCACATTCCGCTCTAACCTCATGCGATGTTGGAATTTGGGTTCAAAGCACAAACCTCGCGAAAGAATGCATGCAACAGCCATACAACAGTTGTTCATGAACGACCAATAAGCTCTTCGAGCACTCTGTTGCACATCAGCATCACAATCGTCACCATGTTGACAAAGGACTCAGGATTGCGAGCTGCGGCAGTGCAATTGTGCGGAAGCTGCACAGTGCCATGGCACCGAAAGGCGAAAACCAAAAAATATCCAAAGCGAAAACCTGAGATCTGCAAATGGCAGTCATCAGACGCGGCTCTGTTGCACTTTTATTGTTAGAGGTTTGGAAACTGGACACACTCGCCAATGCTTGATCAAGAATCCAAACCTTTGCACAACAAAGCCCAGCGATACGGCAGCTGCTGGACGAAACCCATCATGGTCGCGGCTTCCAATCGTCTGCCAACGATAAACCCATCTTGCACTGCTCACAAGACGTGGTCCGTCACTTCCGCCTCTTGATCTTGCAAGTGCTTTCATCAGGGCTTTATGCAAAACTGCGGATCTCCGCGGCTGCCAACGTCATTCCCCCTGCACCCACGCGCACATCACAACAATGAAAAGTAAAGCAGTTGTGACAGCTAACGTGGTAGAACATTACAGATAGGGGCTAGAATACGACACAGGTGGGAGCATGGCGTGGTGGCGCTTCATGATCCTTGGGTGAATCCTGACATTCTCACCCATCCAGCAGTTTATCAAGGACGATTTCGCATTTACCTCCCACTCTGAGGAGGCTCTGGGCCTCAAACCCGCGGCAGCACTCAGTTTGCGAGGCTGGTCCCCTCCCCCCCCGGGGTTTAACCCAGGTTTGAACCTGGGTTTGAACCTGGGTTCCCGGGGGGCCTCCCGGGGGGGGACAACAACAACAACCCAGGGAACCCAGGTTTGAAACCTGGGTTTAACCTGGGTTTAACCTGGGTTTGAACCTGGGTTTGAACGTGGGTTAAACCTGGGTTCGAACCTGGGTTCAACCCCGGGTTAAACCCAGGTTTAAACCCAGGTTATAACCCAGGTTTGAACCCAGGTTTGAAACCCAGGTTCTAACCCAGGTTTGGAACCCGGGTTTAATGAACCCAGGATTAACCAAGGTTAAAACCCAGGTTCAAACCCAGGTTAAACCCAGGTTCCAAACCCAGGTTTGAAACCCAGGTTCTAACCCAGGTTTGGAACCCGGGTTTAAAAACCAGGGTTTAAACCCAGGTTAAAACCCAGGTTTGAACCCAGGTTAAACCCAGGTTCCAAACCCAGGCTTGAAACCCAGTTTCTAACCCAGATTTGGAACCCGGGTTTAAAAACCCAGGTTTAAACCCAGGTTATAACCCAGGTTTGAACCCAGGTTTGAAACCCAGGTTTGAAACCCAGGTTCTAACCCAGATTTGGAACCCGGGTTTCAGAACCCAGGTTTAAACCCAGGTTATAACCCAGGTTTGAACCCAGGTTTGAAACCCAGGTTCTAACCCAGGTTTGGAACCCGGGTTTAAAAACCCGGGTTTAAACCCAGGTTAAAACCCAGGTTCAAACCCAGGTTAAACCCAGGTTCCAAACCCAGGCTTGAAACCCAGGTTCTAACCCAGATTTGGAACTCGGGTTGAAAAACCCAGGTTTAAACCCAGGTTATAACCCAGGTTTGAACCCAGGTTTGAACCCAGGTTCTAACCCAGATTTGGAACCCAAGTTTAAAGCACCCAGGTTTAACCCAGGTTAAAACCCAGGTTCAAACCCAGGTTAAACCCACGAGGGCTTCAAGGCAGACCTAGGATTGTTTGAAGAAAGGCTTAAAGGAAGGAGGACCTTCTTCGACACGAAAGGAGACGCCCACACGAAATCGCTTAAGGGGGTTAAAAACGAACAAAAGAGAAGCAGAAACATGCAATTTCACACAAGGCCGCATAAAATCGTTCAGCGGGACCCGCTCTTAAAAGCTCAATGCGCCCCCTCCAACCCCCCCGCTTTTTGTAAATTGCAAACTCCCGCCTTTGAAGCCGCCTAAACCCCAAACCTTCAACTCCAAACCCAGACCGTACAATGGGCTGCGCCCCCTCCAACCCCCCCGCTTTTTGTAAATTGCAAACTCCCGCCTTTGAAGCCGCCTAAACCCCAAACCTTCAACTCCAAACCCAGACCGTACAAAGCGAAAAATTAACAAAAAGAACAGGGCTCAAAAGCAAGGACATAAACACCCACGAAACCGCTTTGGGAGGCTTAACCGCGAATAAAACAGAATCGAAGATATGAAAATGGAAGGAGCTGCGCCTCTCCAACCCTTCCGCTTTTTGCACAAAAATTCCTGCGCCGTTGAGGCCTAAACCGTAAACCTTCAACTGCAACCCCAAACAAAGCGAAAATTTTCTAACCTGGGTTCAACCTGGGTTGGAACCTGGGTTCAAACCTGGGTTGGAACCTGGGTTGGAACCTGGGTTAGAACCCAGGTGGAACTTGGGTATTGAACCTGGATTTAACTGCGTTTGAACCTGAGTTGGCAGGTTTTAAAATCTGAGTGCGCGGAGAGTGCAATTTAAAAAAACGAGCAGGTTATTATTGCGTTTAAGGTCTCCAAAGCGATTCTGTGAACATGTATTTACTTCGCTTTTGAGCTTAGGCGATTTCGTGTGGAATGTTCTCAGCCTCCATTGAGCTTTCAAGCCATTTTCTTCATTTTAAACCCCTTAAGCGATTTCGTGTGACCTCTGCTTTTTGTATTGAAGGCGTCTGCTCACGTTCTTTTTTGAACCCAGGTTGAACCTAACGTTCAACCCAGGTTCAAACCTGGGTTCAAACCTGGGTTCCGAACCGAGGTTCAAACCTGGGTTTGAACAACTCTGTCTTCAAAATAGTTGTTCAAACCTGGGTTTCGAACCCCAGGTTCCGGAACCCAGGTTCAACCCAGGTTTCCGAACCTGCCCTTGAAGAAAGAAATAGTTTTTGGAACCCAGGTTTAACCTGGGTTCCAACCCCCCCTCTGGGACCAGCCCGCAGTTTGCAGCCCGCCGGACTGCTGTCCAGTGCTGAGGATGGGCCCCACCCCCTTTGACAAAGGGGGGCTTAAGCCCCCCTTGAAGCCCCCCTTTTTGCCCCTTTAAGGCCCCCTTTAAAGGGGTCTCCCCTAAGGGGGGGGGTGAGCCGATACACCCACAAGGAAATGCTCCTTGTTAGGAGGTGTATGACCAGTTTATTCCCTAAGGATCAAAGGGCAGCGCCCTGCACACGGACAGTAGTTGTTTTGTCTTGCTACGCAAGGAGAGCTTGTCTTGTCTCAATATGGTAAAACCACTGTGAGCCAATGGGCAGCGGAATGTATATGTATGAGCATGCAGCCATTGCTGTAGGTACCTGTTAGAGCTACCCCTTTAGAGGTTTACGCAAACAAACAGACACTAATTTTCTTTTACCGGAAGCATGGCCGCACATTCACACATATACTATTATGCCCACTGTCACAGTTGCGGAGTTTGGACTCATGATAAAAACAGCATATTGTTTATGCTAGGTATAGCACTGAAGTACACTGTTGAGGTCACTCCTTTTGCACACACTCATGCATGTTGGTCAGAGAGATCATCTGTACAAGATCAGGTCTGGTAATGTTCTTCTACCGAATTATGCAGCCCTTCATTGTGCTCTTGTTAGAGCTTTGTGAGTCACTGTTGTGAAACTCTGAGAATTTTCTTATCTCAGATTCGGATCCAGGTTTGGATCATAGGCTCGAGCATAGACGTTCGGATGTGGTTCATCCGGGTCTGAGTGATCTTCTTCGGAACTTGAAAAGATTCCGAGTAATCTGTTCTCAGCCCTGGTGAAGGCGGCGTCTGCAGTTTCATATCCATGGTTGGATGTAGTCGCCTTTGGCTCGGCCTTTGGTGCAGCTTGTGAGCTGATTGGAGTTGCCTCGGCTTTAGCCGGTTGTGGCTGCTTAGCCTTTGCCCGTTCGGCCCTTCTTCTTTCAAGCTGTCCGTCTGAGGACGCCCATGATCTTTCACTTTCATCTCCTGAGGGAGATAAGGCGTGGGCATGAAGGCTGTTCCAGTACTGTGCTGCAGAAGGAGTTAGGACTTCTTCATGGTCAGATTCTGACTGGTCTTCCTCAGAGCTTTGGTCGTCAAAAAGTGTCTCAAGGACATTTTTGAGGTTTTTATGTCTTCGCTCTATCTCTAGTGAGGAATGGACCAATTGATTGAAGACTGTTTTTGAGTCCTTCAGTGCTGTTAGAAGGATTTCCACTCTGGATAGAGTATCTTGGATGGTGTCAAGATGATCCTTTCTTTCCTCCTTGTCTCTCTGGATAGAGTTTCGCAATGATTGTGCGATTCTGAGGAGGTCGAGATATTTCTGAATAGGCATAGTTGCCGTATGATTGTCATGTATGACAGTTGTTTCGTCGCTGCTCAAGTTCCTGAATAGGACTTCCACGACTGGTAGAAACTCCGTGCTCCACGGTTCCTCTTCATCATATGTTTCTACATGCTGTTGCACGCGTTGCGTAAACTGCTCGGCTGCTTCTACCGTTGCATCGATAGAGCTGACGTGTCTTACTGCCATGTTTCGGCACATAGTGTTAATGGCCTGGCCTTGATTGGCTTCGCCAAGTG